ATTTTATTTATCGTCTTTCCCCTAACGTTCAATCTTTAAATATGAATTATACCGCTACCTATTGTCAGCAATATGGTGGATATCCGGTCTATGCGTTAAACGCCTACGAATGGCAACTAGTGCAAGAAATTTGGTTGACGAATCGAGTATATGAATTGTATTTGACCGGCTTACTAAACGATGCAAGCAAACAAGAATCAACAGCATTTTGGTATCCGCTGAACATACCAGTAATAGAAAATCCCAACTATATTATCAAGTTGAATATATGAATTCTGTTTTTAGTATAATATAACCCTTGACTATCTAATATGGGGTAGGAATGATGGTGGCCCATCAAACACACGTTATCACGGTTCAAAGGCCAATACAGAATCATATTATTATATATATGATACAGCGGATCTTCTTACGGCACAAATATTTTGTCGAAAGCCAGGTTAGTTAGTTATCTGGCAAATAAAGTCAGGTAAACATCATTCTACGAACGATATAGTATCATTTTACTAGACTACCATTCATTCAAAGACTTTTATGTATTAGAGGTTCTAAATTCATGTGTATTTTTGTTGAGATGTTCGAAGAATGATGACAGCAACCTCATGTTCTTCTGCATGCATGGGAAACTGTCAAAGTGTGTCATTGCCAGCATCTAGTGGAGATCAGCGTTTTGGATTATTTATGTGTCAACCTCAAGATACCAGCATTGTAGTTATTACACAATCATTTCCAAGAGATGGTAAGTGACCTAGTTACTTTCTTGCTAATTTCTCAACTTAACTTTCCTTTCATGTTCTTTAGCTGTTGATTTCTATCGTCCAAATTTACCAATGTCGTATGCTGTTTTTCTACGTCAACCATTTACCACATCTTCGACAACATTATCAATCAATTTAAACTCAACGAATGATTTACGTTCTTCTTGTTTTGAATATTTTAATATGGGACTCGAAAATACCGCCGATTCATACAGACTACCTGGATGTAATTATATTTCAAATACTGGTATTCCAATGAATGTAACAATGTCGGGAATTATCATTAATAACGGATCTAATGGAATTGTGACATTTGCAAATGAAAATAGGAGATTATTTGGGCATCATGCTCGAATTATTGACAATATTTTGGGTATGTTAATAGTACGAGGTTCAAATGTCTGTATTTTGCGTCACAATGGTGTGCTAATTTCATGAAACTTCATATGAAAATATGCACGGTACTTACGCATTGTCCTGATATATTTTTTTCTATCATGTTTAATTCAACCAACAATAATGTTCAGTGCAAAATTGTTTTATACATTGTTTTAGTCGATAGTCGTTGCTCTTATCATGGAGTTTATCATGTTCTTGCTCAACAGTGTATATGTGCACCTGGTTTCTATGGAGCATCATGTACTTACTGTATGTTTACTATATCTTAGTTTTATATTAATATATTAATCCTAATGAATATGTACCGTTTTGAGATTGTCCTGCTGGCTATTATGGTCAGGCGTGTGATTTTCACTGCGATGGTAGTGCTTATTGTAATGGTACTTTTATCTGTCTACCAGACCCCTATGGATGTTCATGTTATACGGGATGGTATGGAACGACTTGTAGAGAAAGTAAGTTAGAATTACGAATGAACCAGTTATGTGCCATGTTCTTCTCTCTTAAGCCTGTCCTCCACTTTACTACGGTCCAAATTGTGAATATACATGTACTGGTTGTTATACGTATTGTGATAGATTTACCGGAGTATGTGATTGTGATGGCACAGAATGTTATACTAAGAATAGTAAGGATTTTCGAAAACATCTTTCACCTTCAGTAGATTAAGTCCATTATATTTTAAGTTTTTATCAGGATACCTGTTTTCCTGTGTGATTTTTTTCTAACGTTTTAGGTCTCTACAAACGAAGTGACATTGTCGGGCGCTGTAGTCAAGCGTCCAATTTAGCTGTGTTAATAGCCGCTCCATTATCGGCGTTTTTTTTTGTTGTTCTGGTAGTAACAGCTGTAGTTGTATGGAGATGGAGAAAAAAGAAATCTTCGGAAAATCTCGTCCCCGGTTCACCTCTAAGCTCATCGTCAACCGGTCAGGTTTATGATCAATCAACGAAACGTGGATCCTACGCGTTCGATAGAGGATATTATAATAATACATTGTCGGAAAGACTCTAAAGATACATTATTCTACCCTAATATTGAATTTTTGTTTTTTATTTGTTATTGATATTTGAAAATAAATCTTTTCTACTTCTCAAAGTGCTGCTATTTTTCTTAAAAATATCCATTCACCTTAAGCAGACAGGTAGCCTTTTGGAATCTACAGATTGCTTATTATTCACAACGACGAATCTGCGAAAACAAAAGAGATAAATAAAATAACACACAACAGCTGTCAAAAGAAAAATTGACTTAGATGATCTTTTAGAATTGATCTAACTTCTTATTCAAGATTCCATCCATGCTTTATGCTTCTTTCCAGCTTCTTTTAGGAAAGCTTTTGTCAATGCGATTATACCAATACCGGTAAGTTGCTTATAACTGTCAAAACTCATTCGATAGGCACAGACACCTCCGCGAGCTCGATCGGTTGGCTTATTCAGTTTTTGATAAAAGTCGAAACTTCGCGAATAAAACTAGAAATACAAAAATTTTTACGACGTATTTCTGAAAAATATTCTCTACCAGAGGTGTGCTACGAACAAAGACAAATTTGTCATATGCAGTTTTGCAAACTGAGTCGAATGGCTTTTTTAGATTTTAATTTTGATTAATTTTTACTGTCAAAAAATACAAAATACCAAATTAAAATACAATAAAAATTTTTCAACATAGCTAATATCTCAACAAAGAACAAAGAGGGTTGGATTAACTTATCGAAGGTATCATGACTTGCCTAGATGATGACGCCCAAGTGTTCACTGGAGCATGATCCTTGTGCAAAAGAAGGGACTTTTGAGCAATATGAAGGAAACAACAAAACGAATGTCAAAGACTTTTCAAGAAATTTGCCAAGAAAACACAAAACCTGAAGTAGCATTGGCTTGTTCAATGATTGAAAAACTGCCGAATCTTTTACCTACCGGTAGTATGATTAAAGTTGGTAGGCTGCGCAACCGGGGAACGACGACTTTCTTGCACCCCTCTGTAACGGCCGTTTGACGTTACATATTTTATTTTCTGTCGCTTGAAAAGTTTCAGAAACTTCTTCTATGCGCTCTTTGTATAGAGAGAGTGAAATCAGTTAATAATTGATTTTTATTATTATTTTGTTTCATAGTGACGCGAAATGTGGAGACACATTACCTTCGTGTCGACATGGAAATGCTCTTAATTGACGGCAGCAGCGGAATCGATCGGATGATATTTTCAGTTCCGAGCTCAGTAACTTATTCGGTATTGCTCCCTTCTTCCTCTTTATTTTTTGATGCTAGAGTGCCTTCTGGACTTTTCAAGAAAAAAAAACACTTTTTCTATATAGACATTTGTGGGATTTTCGACCTCGCGGTTTATCAGCAAAAGATTTTCTAATTATGCATGTTCCACAGTCTGCTGCTTCTGATAACAAACGATACATGGTAAGAGAAATTACGTTTAAAAGTGATAGTGATAGTTACAATGGTGTCTATGTTATTTGGCATCAACTAGTTAATTTAACAACGAGAACACAATCACCGATGTGTTTTGCAGTAACTCTGATATAAATACAACTCTACTGTAGAAAATGAAAAATTCTTTTAGGCTTAAATTTTTGCACCGAACCATTGAGTCATTCAAAACTCGCTACTGTTCGACGGCGTGCGAGTCAGTACTCACAAGTACTGGGCTTATCCCAACTAAGAATCACCTGATTCTGTCTAGCTGGGATCAGAGAATAATTAAATAAATAAAACAATAAACCTAGTAGGGTAAATCAGCAGAAAATCAGATAAAATCCTACAATAGAATCTTGCAAGATTCTATAAGATCTGACTACAGGATCCTATAAGAATCTTACAGTAGGACTTTTTGACCTGGGTACGTTTAATTTCTTCCTTCGTTACTGACACGTATGGTTTTTTCAATTTAGACTTTGAATCAATCTATTTAAACGACTTGGCAATCACAAATTCAGAAATTCCATTGCCAAGATTGTTGAGACATTCGTAAATGGAACGAATTGAGATATAAATAAGAAATGCATCGAACAAACGAACTTCATCCTTCCCCAGAACAGACGTTGTTATTTCCTAGTTTTTTCTTCCGACTTGTTTTGTAATGTTGTTGTGTGTTTCTCGGTACAAGTTTTACTTAGCTTATACTTATGTGTTGTTATACTTATTTTTCAGGGTGATTAATGAAATTGTTTTTATATAGTATGAATTTTTCATGAAGCTTGAAAAAATCAAAATAAAGTTAAACTGTAATAACTTCTTGATATTTGAATCAGATGAGCAAGAAAATAAGATCAATACTCAAACTTCTTCAGAAGCGCCTGTGTAATGTCTAGATTAATTGACTGAGTACAGTTAAACTATCCGTGAAAAGGAAGGTAAGTTAGTCGTTAATATAGTATTAAAGTAAACCGAGGTGAACAGTTGAAACAGATCTGTTTCAAGAGATATATGAACTAACAAAAACACGTTTCACATTATTCAAAAACACTGACAAAACACTTTTGTACTATGTACCAGGGCTCCGTATGGTTCGGTCTGATTCCAATTTTTGCGATCGAACCATAACTTTTGGGGATCTGGACCGCTTCGGACCACCAAAGTTTTTTCCCGCCTTTTTGAAGACCCGTTTCTATTGTGTAAAAAAACTGTTTAATTTCAATTTTTATCAAGCCTGAAAACAAACTGTTCCTTAATTAAATGTTCAGCAAAGCTTATCTAGTGGGTAAACAAAAAAATAAAGAGATTTCTAAACAAATTTCCAACCACGATCAGTTCGGATCAATAATTCTGGGACTGGAACCAGTTTGAATCATTAAATTTTTTAAAAACTGGGACCAAGTCGGATCAAATGGATTATGGTCCGACCCGACTTGGTTCTGGATCGGACCATACGGAGCCCTGCTATGTACTGCTGATGCTGACGCCAGATATTGTAACATTGCTAAAGCAGTATATATAGACTTTTCCATGAAAATGGTATCGTACTAAAAACTTTTCTGAAGACTCGTTATGAGTTTCTTCTACGTCTTCCCAACTGATTTATTCCAAATTTAAAACTCAACGTATTTGATCGTAATGCTGATTTTCTTTTTCAACCGCGAAGAATGAGTTTCTCTTCATGAAAGCAACTTTTTTAATCTGATATGTTAAAACCGCACAAAACGTCTCAAGCATCTTATTATAACTTAAATTAATTAATCAATTAATCAATCACTTTATCTTCTTCCTGATCCTAAGCGACATCAATCCAAATACGCTGATCCATCAAAGTTTTATCCAATGATATCGCGATTATTTGTTTCATATAACGTTTTTTTTCCTTTTTGAAGTCGGCCATTTTTTGGAGCCAAAAGGAAACGACGTTGATTTTTGCTGATATTTTGTGTTCTGAAAAAGCAAAGGCATCAACAGCACACCTGTTACAGCAGGGTTAGTCTATGAAGGATGCTTTGTAAAAACTTCAAAAGATATAGAGGATTACAGAATAGAATCAGCGTGCTGCTCTTTTCTGAGTATTTTTTTGCACGCTTCTAGTCGACATTTATTATTTTTTAGATTCATTATTATCATATCGTCTTAATATGGTTGTTCATTCTCCTCAATCTTATCCATTTCGTGGCATTAAATATTTTCTCACTCATTCTCAATTATGGTTTCATGTCTTATTTGGTGTTATCATTATGGTTGCATTTACATTAGCCACTATCATCTTACTCTTTTTATTCGTCTTCCCACTGCAAGCACATGCATTTCATGAGGGTATAACACATTTTCCCGAATGGTTGTCGTGGATATTGTCGTTTTTAATTACGATTTTGGAAGTAGCCGTATGTGTACTTCTGTTCTCAACAATATTTTTAGCTTATTATATGGATATTATATTCGCTGTTGTATTTAGGTAAATAGAAATCTGTACAGTAAGATTTTTTAATTATATCTATGATGACTGTATTTGCTCTATCGTTTTTGATCGTCATCAAAAGTTTTCTTATTTAGACAAGAACAAATACCTGGATCGAGTGTTCGTTCCTATTGGGATATGTGTCCGTCTTGTTATTCATGCGTCAAATCATTTGTTATTCTCATCATTTTTCGAGTGTGTTTGTTATTAGTTACATCACCGCTGAATCTCATACCGTGTATTGGAACAATATTCTATATTTATTTGAATGGTTTCTACTATGCATGGTCACTTCATTGTAAATATTTTGATTTGTTAGGACTCAACTTTCAACAAGGTTAGTAATGTTATTAAAATAAAGTTTAAATTAAACTAGAGGAGAATTCTTTTTTATTTAAGGTAAACGTTATGTTCATCAAAATCGTTCGGACTATGTTCGCTTTGGTGTTGTTGCTGTCCTATTAGAAATGATTCCTCTTCTTAATTTTTTGACTCCAGTCACTAATATTATTGGAAGTGCTTTATGGGCTTGTGATATCGAACGATTCAAAGAACCTCTTGAACATCCAAGAAACTTTTTGTTAGCGCCAGCTGAATTACCAACAACTACTAGTCTACCTCCCGGAAATTATGGATCAATAAAAGATGGCAGTGAAAAAGTTGATTATCCACCGAGTTATAATGAAGTAATTGAACAACAAGCGCAAGCAGCTAATATTTATCCCACGGCACCTGTTGAACCAAGCTATCAAGAAAAGCAATGAAATCTCAACACACGTTATTTTCCTCTCTTCATTGTTTTTTTAATCTATTTTTCTGGTGCTAAGATAATATTATTTTGTTTGCTGTAAAATCCTTGTTTTTTACTTTGTACTTGTAATTGACTATTATTTAGTTATTGATAATTTAGCGCTATGCATATAAATTGGTTTATTAATTTCCAAATTTATTATTTAGTCCATATTGCTCGTTAATCTGGCTAATAAATATTTTCTCTATCCAATATTCCTCAAATGAAGCGGTTATCTTTGATGGATAAGTGAAATCATTTGAAAAATGAAATTGGTAATTATTTGAAATATGACATTGAATAATCGTTTCAAGAAACTTCTAAAGTTGTTTTACTAGGAAGAATATTAAAATAATTTTAAACCGAAAAAGTAGTATGTCGTTTTTTTAATAAAATACATTTCAATCATAAGACATAATTACTTATTAAAACTTGAGTAAGAAATCGAAAAAAAAAAATTGAGCAATAAACTATTACTATATTATTAGGTTTTTGTTTTAGGTAAAAATAATGAAAACTATAACGTTTGAAACTTCAGAATGTTCGCATACATATAGCTTTTTTCTATTACAAAATCGAGATAAAGTCGCACTAGTTTATGCTTCGCCAAACAAAATACACTGTAATCTAGACTATCTAGATCATCATACTGTAAGAACATCTCTTGCAATAGACAATCATCGTTCTAAACAAATACGTACAGTCTGACACTACACACATGGAGATTAGGGTGCACTAATGATAGCCATACTCAATGCAGACTGGACTAGTGGCGTCTATTCCCACCTTAGTATATGAGGCATTTGGTACCACTTCGAAGAGTCGATCTCCCAGTATACCATCTGACGAGAGAAGTACCGCAACTGATAAATCGCTTTTTCAACGAAACCGGGTGGACTATAGGTAGTCGACGATGCTGATTCCGAATATCACCATGAATGCTGCTGCTAGGCCTTCAAAGATCGGTTTTCTGAAAAACCAGTTTTTGAGAAACTCTGATGAGCAACCAAAAGCTTTCTTAATGAGGCGTAATTGTAGTCCATAAATTTCTGATTAAAACGAGGCATCTCCCAGCTCTACGCGACCTTTCTTTGCAAAGTTATAGAGTTTACAAGAAAAGCCCTCAGTGTTCATTGTCACCTCAGAGCTACAGAAAGAAAAACGAAAAATGAATTTAGGGCTTTCTTGTAAACTCTATAACTTTGCATCGTCGACTACCTATAGTCCACTCGGTTTCGTTGAAAAAGCGATTTATCAGTTGGGGTACTTCCCTCGTGAGAAATGAATTTCTACAGCAAAAAAGCGTTGTACCTTACTTTTGTTGAGGCATTACGCCTCAAAGATCTCACAAGATAGACGTCCCTAAACTGAACCAGCTGTTACACAGACGTTAGTCACCCAGAATTAGTCTTCGGACAATGGACTCGGCTTTTTATGGAGCTATTGTATATCTATATACTGAAGGGAGAGATTAACGATTCTCCAAAGAAATTACCACTTATAGATAAAACTATCGGAAGAATACACAATACACAACATATTCACCGTTTTGTTTTGCGTCTGCACACAGTGGGCAATTTTCAATAGGCACTTGGACTTTTAGCCTGCAGGCTAGAGGAAAACTTAAAAGGGCGTTTTCTATAGGTTATCTTGTGTACTCTATTTAATCGAATCCTTTTCGAATTCTAAAAAGGTTTTCTAAGTGGTTTTCCAGAGATTCGATCTCTAGAAAACCACTTAGAAAAGCTTTAAAAAACTCGAAAACAATTGCATTGGATAGAGAATCATCGATAACCTATTGCAATAGTGTTTAGACGATTTCATCTGTTGATAATTTCAAATTGTAAAATTTCAGTCAAAAATCCCTCCCTATACGCACATACAAGAAACAAAGGTATCAACTAAATTCAAAATTTTCAGTACAAACACGGCTGAATTATACACGATTCGACGCAGTTTTTTGCGTTGATTTCAAATATATTATTGGTTTTTAATTTCAATATTCATGGGCTGAGATAATCCGGATTTATCTCAAAAACCAAGGATTTTTGGAAAACCTGTATCTCGGTCTAGAAACATTTTCGCTATTTTTCGCTAACAGCACACAGTGGGCAATTTTGACTAATTACGTGGACATGAGTTTTGAAAGCAGTCCAAAAGTATCTAAACCATTTTTCTACAGGTTTTCTATGACGCTCTTTCCAACCGAATGGTTTTCGAGTTTTAAAAAAGTTTCCCAAAAGATTTTTCAGAGACCGGATCTCTCCAAACCACTTCAAAAACTTTATCAGAACTCAAAAACCATTCCATTGGAAAGAGTATCGCTGAAAACCTATAGAAAAATTTTCGAGGACTTGGTATACCATCTGTGAGACAGATTATAAAGTACAGCAAATTGATATTTATTTACAAAATCTTGTATAACATGAGCTCTGTAACAGATACTGAAGATTTTTCCACAAAGTTAAAGCAAAATCTTAGTTTTCCATCACCTCTACCGAAATGATTCTCTGTCGAATACAGACGTAATATTATCTACATGACAAGGATGCATTTAGGATTCTGTTTTCTTTATGCGAGCCAATACAAGCGACATTTTGTACCCATCTTTATGTCAGACTTGCATCACTCTCGAAACAGTGGAACATTACTTCTTACATTGTACACGCTTTGCCCAAGAAAGACTGCAAATGCTAGCCAACTTCTTATTAGTTACAAGCACAAATACTTACTTACCCCAGTATACAACAGATTTTAAGAGAGTGAGAACGCAAAACGTTTTGCTTCATAACTCATCATTATTGTATCATCCATCTTTCTTTAGAAATTTTATTCGTATATAGAAAATAATCATTACAATATTTATTATAATAATTTTTTCATGCTTTTGCTCTTCTCTTTCTTTTACCTTCATGAATACCATCTACATTTTCGTTTTTTATGTGCACGTGTTTATTGGCAACATCAAGTTTTGTACCTAGGAGGAAGAGTATTTTCTATAGTACATTCCTCTTTAAATAAATAATGGTATATATATCTGTAAAATAATTTTATTTTAAAACAAAGACATTTAACATATAATAAACTAGACTAAATTTCGACTATGAAATAGACTTGATTTACAAGTATAAAATAAATATATCTATCCTTTGTTCAAAGATGCTATAAATACATTTTAACTACATTTTTTCTGGATTTATTTTGACTCCTAGAAATGAGTATAGTGCAATAAACAAATAAGAGACAAATGGCAAGAGATAAGCTTTTGCAATACTATGGGTTAACTCTGCAATAAGACCCATTAATGGTGTTAACACGGCTCCTCCCACTATGGCCATCACTATGATACTTCCTGCTATTTTCGTTGTTGAACCGACTAGTCCTTTTAGACCAATAGCAAATATAGTGGGAAACATAAGTGACATAAAAAAGCTCGTGCAAAATATAGATATCATTCCAACCCAACCGGGAAAAAATACGCCAATACCAACTAAAACACAATTAATCAAACTATATAAACCCATGAGAAGATTTGGTCGAACAAATTTCATTAAATAGACTGAACTGAATCTTCCCACACCAAATGCAGCCAACGTTCCTGTTAACCAATATCCAGCAACTTTTTCTGGAATTTTCGTATTATCTTGAGCATATTGAATAAAATAACTCCAAGTACCAACCTGGGCACCAACATAAAAAAACTGAGCAATTACAGCAAATATGAAATTGATACGACAAAGTGAACCAGATTTTGATGATTTATTCTCTATTTGGTCATGATAAACAACATTTGCTTCATCTTTTGTCACTGGAAATTTTGTGATTAAAATGAGTATTGCCCAAATAAATGTAATAATAGCTAAGACTACGTATGGATTTATTACCCGTAACGTTTCTTTTCTTAAATAGGCATTGTATGTTCCATTGACTTTCATTGAATGAACTTCTTTTTCCGACAATTCAACACCAGAAAAAATGAATAGTGTGCCAACTAATACACCGGTGATAGCACCTAATGGATTGAATGCTTGAGAAAAATTAAGACGTTGTTCTGATGTTTTAGGATTGCCTAGTTGAGCAATAAAAGGATTTGCTGCTGTTTCTAGGAATGATAAACCACTCGCAATGATGAATAATGCAGCCAAAAACACTGAATATCTTCCAATAAGAGCTGCTGGCCAAAACAATAGTGCTCCGACGCCATACAGAACTAGACCGGTCACAAATCCCGCCTTATATCCGGCTTTTTTCATTAATAAAGCAGCTGGTATTGCCCACAAGAAATATCCCATGAAAAAGGCAGACTGAATAAGACCAGCTTGGAATCTTGTGAGAACAAACGATTTTGAAAATTGACGAATCAAAACATCGTTGAAACTATTAGGAACACCCCATAGGAAGAATAGAGCTGTAATGAGAAAAAATGGTACCATTTGACCAGAAGGAAATATAGCGTAAGATTGCTTTGAGACAACAATTTCATCCGCTTTCAACATCGGTGTTGTCACTGATACTATTTGACTATTTGGCCGTGAAGGTGTCCTATTTCCTTCAATCATTTTTACCAATGCTAGAACTCGTATATCCGTCTTGTAAACCTCATCAAACTCAATATTTGTCAATGTTTTATTTTTGTCTAATGTTTCTAGCAGAACTTCGAATGTAAAATCTGTTACTGGACCTTGAATAATAAATTCTCTCAGTGTATGATTATTTTGTAGACAATCTCCAATCACACGGGCATCATTACGAGATAATTCAACATTGGATAATGTTAATTTTTTGATATTTGAATTCTGTAGAATGAGCTTCCAATCCTGAGGAGATATCTGATTATCTTCTTTGATAGTTACACTGATTGGACGAGACGCGGCGTTTACAGTATTAGAAAATGTTTGACAAACATTTGAATCAACAAAATTCATGTGGGATAGAACGAGTTCATCGTTAACGATTTTGAACTGAGACGACATCGGGATGCTGAAATATATAAATTTTAAAGAAAATATTATTTATTATTTATTTGAAACAATGATCAACAATACTTTTCTTAACGTGAAAACGACTGTGGTTTTCAATATTATGTAGTTAAGACTTCGGGTCATCTAAATTTTCACTCGACAGATTCCGCTTGGACTATCAATCGTTTTTACAAGTATTTGAGAAACTCAAGCAAAAACAAACATCAGAAGGAATGTGTGTTGACACTATACGAATAGCAAACTATTATGGCTCACCGATTGATTATTACTGACTAATAATTATTAATATAAATTTAATAAATGAACTAACACGAAAAAAAATCCTGTTTAGATTCGAGAATTCTTTGTAGTAATCGAACAAAGAATGTATCCTCAATTGTATCAGACTCTACCATTGTAAAATAAAAAGTAACGAATCTAAAATATACATAAACTAAGCAACAAAAATTGAAGAAGAATGGAAAGAAAGGTTTCGGTATGATATCTTATCTATCCTCTCTTTTTTTTCACATATTCATCCCACTAGGAGTATATCCTAGTGAATGTACTTGGTATACAAATACTTGGTTACTTGATGAGTACTTGGTAAGTATGTGACAAGTTGAGCACTTGAGCAAGAACTTGCCAAGTATCGTTACTTGACTTGCTTCAGCCTAGTACTTTGACTAGTTAGCCACCCTTTTCTTTTGCATGGATCACTTGTATATAAACACCAGAATATCAATCGTTATATACTTATAAAATAAACTTATATATTTCTACTGAGTTGAACAAACTACTGTAGTAGCCGTGCATGTATTTGTTCTAAAAAGTACGGTATGGGTGCAGAATCCGTACAAAATACAAAATAAAAATAAATGGAAACAAGAAGTTGACTAAACTTTTTCAAATAAATGTACTTGCATTATGTCAATCAAATACTTACGTTTTATTTGGAAAAGTTTACAAGTACTATTCTCATTACTTAACCCAAGTACTTGACTCAAGTACATTCACTAGGGTTAACCAACTAAAATATTAGATTCGATCTTTCTCAACATTAGATATGAACCTTCATCTTAACGAAAGTTTCTCTTGGAACCAATTCTATAACTGCTCTTAGTAGACTTTTAGTGAGCACAGAACTGAAGTAATATATAAGTTATTAACACTGTCTATTCTGCAGGTCGAAGCAATGTTTATTTACAGAGAAAAGTGAGAGAATTTGGTAAAAGTAGGGAAAGTACACTGTTTTAGCTGTGAGAACTATGAATAAATAAAAATGATCAAATCACGAAGGATACTCTACTATCTTGAATTCTCATGCTGATAGAGTTCAAAAAATAAAAAACCATTTTTTTTATGAGTAGTAAGGAGTGAAGGTCTTTTATTTCTTGCTAGGTATTGTTCGAGTCTTACCTATAGTGAGTGTCTCGAAATAATGTAAGTGCTGTTACTATGCTGCATAACTATGGGAATAATTACTCCACGAAGCATTTTTTTCGCATAGTTTGAAGGAAAAAGAACGATTTATAAAAGTATGTGTGATGTGAGTAGCGTATGTTGTCAACGATAAGAAAGGAAGAGAGAGGTCATTAAACACAATAAAAAATCGAAAGTAATTTTATGTTTCGCGCCCTGTTTATCTGCAATGATTTACTCGCTAAAATGGGAGCAACTGAAAATGAAACATTCCCGCATTATTTAGAGAATGCGGCTTATTAATATCGTTATAATTTCAAGATTAAAAAATATGTTAAAATGACTATGGATAACGAAAAGAGCTAATGGTGATCATCAGAGTGAACAAGAAACCGATGGGTTAGCTCTACTTTAATATTGTTTTGATGTATTCAACGGCTGTTCATGTGGTTAGTGATGCTCATATGGATATTGTTATTGTGATATGCTCGAGTGACGATTTACTTGAGGTGAAAAATGCATATGTTGTCGAGATGAGTTATAGTCGTAATATAGAGCTTGTTGATATTGTACTGGATAGATTTTTCGTTTTGTAACTTTATTCTTGTAGATACAGTAGATGATAATATAAATAATATTTAGAAAAAAGCCGAGAGCAGCAACACTCAGTTGTATTATTTGAAATAAAAATGTTGCTTGAGATATCGTATAGGTACTAAATGGACCGAATGAGTCAAAACCAGTTAAAAAATTTTGTTGTAATGAATAACTGAATATCGATGTTGAATTTGAATTTGATTGACACGACGATGTTAAAATACATGTCGAAGGTAAAATGATAAAGACAACATTGAATGAGATCAATGTTACACAAGCAACGAGACTGATGATAGTGATGACCAATGCGCGAGTAGCTGCTGATCGATTTTGACAACAGCAGACTGTAAAAACAAAAACAAAACCGTTGCTAATAATGGGAAAAGTAGAATAACAAACAAAATACAAGGACCATAATGGCTCGTTAATAGAATAGAAAATATATTCTTATAAATGATAAGCCCACCTGTTGTAAATAATGCTATTGCACTAATTATAACCGATATACCACACCAAAATCCCGCAAAAACATTTGCTATCCAGAAACTCGCGGCTATGCTTCCTAGACCACTGGCAATTAATACTAATCCTGCTAATAATTCAATGACACCTAACATAAGAATAAAACATCCTGGCCATATTGTTCTAAATGTGGGAGACATATTTTAGAAATGAGTTGGTTCGAAATATTGATCAAGATGTAATGGAACGTTTTTTATGAGCGTTATTAAATGGATCAATATGTATCGAGTATTAGATCAATGAGAAAAAAAATGTTTTTTTGAATACGCAATTAAATGATGAACATCAAAGAAAAACAATCGTCACTTTGCATTTTCTCTTTTACAAGTATGCGACACTCATTACATGATGTGAACAATGAAAGTAGTATATTTGTTTTTTAGAAAGTATTCTTCAACAATTAGAAGAACGAAGAATATTGAGACAAAACAACAATATGAAGTAACAAATAAGATTCAAAAAAAGTATCTTAAAAAAGTGTTAAATGAACAAAATATTTGAAATCTTTTAAAATTGTTTGCAGGACTCTTCTGTCATTACATTAGAAATAGCAGTTTTTTTTCACAGAGGATTCTAAATATGAAGTACAAATGACATTAGATTATGACAATGTTTAAACGAAGATATTAAGGCTATTGCTGGATCTCGACGATCGATTATATCGATAGTACGTTAATATCTTAAACAGATAATTCTATTATATGAAAATTATTTTAATCTGCTGAGAGTAATTGTCGAAAATCATAAGTTTTTGGCTTAAAGTTATGATTTAGAAAATGGCAAACTATTTGATAGAACAAATCTGTTCTACTGTAAACACAAGCATCGGCTGGTTTCAATACATACCCCGTACTATTCATTAGTAACATCAAATTACTCAAAACTACTGTCAATCCATAGCAAAACTTCTGTCAAATTACCTTATTCTATTCTACTAAGTTTATTAAAAACAGAAGAAAAAAGACTATTGATAGAAATTTTTTTTTGAAGGAATCTACAACTGAGAAAAACCATCAATTGACACATTCAAATGGTAAAATCGTATTTTAGCTATTGAATAGAATAGACGGTAATAAATATTCGATGCTTTCATATGATATTGCGTTTTAAACTTATGTTTGAATTCATTCAATTATATTTTTTTGTTTTTTTTTGATAATTCGGTTCAGAAGTGTAATACGTGCTGTATAAAGATGTTATAACATATGTGATAACAACTACATTGGCTCGTTAATATCATAATCTGAAAAATAGTCAGCAAAAGCAAAAGAAATACGAGAAACTTAGATAAGATAACTGACAGAGAAAATACATCGGCTTTGTTACATAACTTACCAGTGTGAAATTTCATCACGTTTCCTTCTACACCTACAACAGATATTTTTAGACCAAGGTTGCCGCTATCGAGTATCGGAAGAGTGGAAAACATTCCCGAGAAAATCAGATAAACAAGAGAAGATTTTTTTTTGTTTGTTTCAAATGCGTATTTGTCAATGACTAGAAGATTTGTTACAGATATTTAGCTTATATTTTAATAAAACAGTAAAAAAATCAAAGTAGAAAGTCAAATAACATAAATAATTTAAACAATTGTTCTCTGTTGTATGATGTAATTCTATTAAAAACAAAAATGGTACTGTATGCAGCCAGTAGACGGCTCGAAAAACCAAAAAGATCTTCAAGCCTTTGGCAGACCGGCGCGGAATAGACTATCCCAGAGCGCTCGAAATCTAAAATCGACTCTCGACCTGTTGTGTATGTGGCTTCACAAGTTTAACAGTTAAAAGCAATTTTTTCTCATTATTATAGTTTTTCATGTTTTATTTCACTAGTCTTGTTCGATGAGCAACGACTCCATACGTTGATGTATCTGTCGAGTCAATCTTAGATATGCAATTTTAGTTTTTCAACGATTGGACTAGATGACACCTGTTGTGTATGTGTTTTTTAACTTCCGACAAAATAAATATCATCACCAACACTTCTGAAATAGACAAAAATATTTTTGAAACAAAGAGCTCTCCCGCTGTCTCTATGCCAAAAAATGAGAACGGTGGCGATACGCATAATTAGACATTTCTGTATTCTATAGTATATCAGCCCTCCCCCCTCCTCAGTTATTTTCAACCACTGTCATTCCAAAGGTGTAATAGTACTAAAAAATATCTCTACTAAAACACTATTATCAACGTACAGGTTTGGATGAGACCTGATTTCAAAAACAAACATCCCTCATTAGTTCGAAAGCAATATTTTTTTCTAAAATTGATCACAATGACCTGATACTACAAACAAGTCTCTCTTTCTCTCCTAGTAGGTGCAGTGGCAGTCAATCTATTAGTATATGTGTCAGTGACGTGTATCTTATTTTTCGGATAAACATAGAAGGTACGGAAGGGGTAATAATAATCTTTCATCAAGATTCATTAAGATTATTTTTCTACGTATATGTGTGCGCATTTACTTTCGTCTTCTTGGATTTGGTTTGCTAGAATAACTCATAAATATAATCTTTAGGAATTATCTCTTTTTTTCTTCTTCTATTTCGCTTATATATGTGCACAGCTATGGAAAAAAATATAATGAAAAATAATATAGATCATAAGAGTTGATGGATTAGGAGAATGGTAATATAACGATGGACATACCATTAACATCACTCCACTGTTAGTTGTTGCATCATCTCTGTATATCCTCTCGTTTTTTCTAACATTAAACATTAATAATTTTGACAAAGACATATATAGACAGACTGACTGCTAAATACCAACTATTTTCACAGGTTCGTAAACTACATTCGTTTTTTTTTTAACTTCAAGGATAATCAAATCTACTTGTGTAGACAAGTTTGTGCAGTATATTTTTTGCCATACAAAAGGCTGAGGAGTAATTACGATCAAATTATTCGTATAGTTTCTCAGATATTACCTCATTATATGAGTTTCATTCCATCATTTTAGCTACTAAAAATGGTCTCGAAAGGAAAGGATTGTGCAATGGAAAACTTAGAAAAGTCCAACGTTGCCTTTATTGGCAAATTAGCCGATGCTAAGAAAGAGTGGATTTCATCATCGATACCACCTATCGATCATTATATTCTTAAATTTGATCAATCCAATTTAGTTACACTTCGTGGAAGAATTTACGAAAAAATGAAACAATTTCAATATCAACAAAAGGGTAAATGTACTATCTATCCACAAAAAAAATGAAGTCAGTCATTTTTTTACGAGCATTTGACTAACGATGAATAGATAGTTGCGATTTTCATGATAAATAACACTACCACTGCCATTCTGTTGAAATCTCTTTTTTAAATAGCATATCTCACAAGCTTTCTGAAGACAACGTTTTTACCCTCTAATTTTTTTAAAAACAATCTGAAATATTTAAAACATGCAAAATTCTAGTCTTTATATCGATTAACCTTATGTATTAGTTGCACTGAAAATGAACAAAAAACTTAGATTATCAGGCATTCTAAAGTTTATTTATCTTCAGAAATAATGAGAAAACTTAATAAACACAAATTTTGAGAAAAAGTCTTTTATTTTTATTTTTGATTAAGCAGATATAAAAAAGCATATCTCGCTGAAAACTCAATTAACTCTATGTGAGGCTCCCATAAAAATACACCACTTTGAACTTCAGTTTCTTATAGAAAAATGTGCCAAATTCTGAACTATAATATGACAGAAATTAAAACTTTCAATCTATGTCTAAGAAGGTGTTGTTTATAAAAATGACCGAATACTACTTACTTGGACGCACAGTAGCGATGTCAGCTAATGTTATCGTCCAATGTAAACATTCTGTTTCCATTGATAGAAAAAATGATTGTGACTGAATTTGATTTCTCATTTATTAACCTTCATGTCTATTTAATACAACCTAAGTGTTCTCTGTTTTCAGGTGCCAAGGAATGTGTTTTGCCTGATGCAGACGATGTCGAAGCGGAACAAATTGCTGAGCTTATACCTACAAAACCAGTTGTGGGCAACTTATATTTGGCTTGTATTACCGATAATTTGGCTAAAATTGAAAAATTAATTCTTTTAGAACAAGAAGAAATAGATGAAGTCATTCGAAAAGCCAATGAAAGAAGGAAATCATGTTTGTGTTGATGATACAGGCAACAACTTCAAAAATAAGAAAACTACACATCATCGTTCCAATTATCGTTTGTATATTATTTATTAATAAAATGTGCATATTCCTAACAATATTCTACTCGATAGACTGAATACTTTTTACTCGTGGTTCGATTAAACTAACAAATCTATCCTATTTTGCTATCGTCCTTCTTATTTCTCTTTTAATATGAAATAGATTTCAGTGACTGATAAAGCAAATAAAATGCGCAAAACATTCAAAATGCATAAAATATATTTTCAATTCGAATTCATATTCTCGTCTTTTTTCTCTACTAATGTTTTTGGTATGATGATTGTTAATTTGCTGTTAGAAGGCTGGACAATAAGCTTTATTCTTTACTATCTTGATATATATTAAAGCCTGATGGCAATATGACATTCGATAAATGAATTCATACCGTCAAATAGTTGTGTAAAATAACATACTAATGAATGATGTTTTACATATGTACGCTAACTATGAATCAATCGACGTCTGTCACTGTCAATAGATTTAATGTTTATAGTAAAAATTCTTTCTATAAGAGTATGAAAAATTATAGCTAATTAAAGAATTTTTAGAGAAAAGAATTTCCATTGATATCTTTCAATGCATGGAACTTAACCTTTGTAATTGTTTTCCTTACAAAAATTCAATTTCTTTATATATTTTACCAAGCCAAGAATTTTTATCAAACGAAACTCATAAAATAAGAATAATTTAGATAAAAACAAAAAGAAAATAAGCATGCATATTTTTATTATCAAAATAGAATAGATTGACATGACTAAAGATCCCTTTCACTTTTTGATATTAATTTAGATTGTTCGACATTTATACGGCATGTTGACAATATAGTGATTATTTCTGGATCATAGAAAAATCACTCATCCAAAGTATATACAATGATTACAAATAATCAATTTCAAGATATGATTGACATCAAACAAACCAGAACAAAATTGTTCGAGAAAATGTAAACGAATGTGAATGTCTAACATAAGTTACTATCATATGGACAAACATTTAATGAAGATCATGAGTTTAATATTAAAAGATAACAATTTTATTTTAATTATTATCATTTAGTGAAAAATCAAGTCTAATATCATGATGGATACTATTAATATATGAAAGTAAACAATAAATGTGTAGGATTATTTTATAATCATAAAAGGAAAATATTATTTAGTTCAAACATCATGCAACTATTTACGACCAGATTGAAAACGTTATTTCTTTATCCAAAAACAGTATTTATCTTAAGCATTTGATCATCTTTCAAAACTCTACTAAAATTACCATATGGATTAAGAGTCCATATACAGACAACTTTGAAGATTATGTAAATATTGACTAGAGAGAATGAAAGGAAAAAAAAATACATATTTTGTCATTCAATATTAAAGTAAAAGACACCAACAATCAAGCAGACATAGAATAATTACAATAACGAGGTCATCATGAAAAACTATTCATATTCGATCAACTAACTGAAAAGTTCCAAAAAAATAGTTTAAATCACGCATAATGTTTTGTACTCTAATTTCTCTCTTTTAAAATCCTATAGTAACATGAAATTGAATTGTTAATTAATATGTAGAAGAATGGTATAACTTGTACTTCATTTAGTATCTTATGTAAATACAAAAGTGAAATTGGTCGATATTTGAAGTTTATCAGTAGAACTAAACAATTATTAGTAAAAGAATTTTATTGATATCAGCAATTGCGCTATGAATAAATATTCTGTTGGCAAATATTGTCCAATTTGAAATGAAAAATAAATAATTATTATTAATGATAAATTGAAATATATTCTCTCCCTAATTATGGATACAATGCAGCTAAAGAAAAGAACTTAGCTCAATAATCAGGGCAATAGCTAGAGGGGGGGGATTGGGAGACCGGTCTCCCCTTGACTTTTGAAAAATTGAATTTTTTTCACTGAATCCCGTCAGAAAAAGTTGCTAATTGATAGACTATCTCTGAAGGTAAAAAAAAGTCAATCCTTCCTTCGCAAAAATTCTGGCTACGGGCCTGTCAATAATGTAATGTCAATCAATTAAGCAAATAATACGTTTATTTAATAAGAAAATGTAAGGTATCACAAAAAGAAAAGATTAAGATTAATTCGAATATAAACCTTTGGCGAGTAAACACACTCGCACGTTGTCACAGATACAAATCATACCCTGATATCACACCGATCACAATTTTTCGTCATAAAAATCAAGATACTGTCGATGTTGTCCTTGAAACATGTTTTAGCGTATAATGAGATGACTATTTTTTGGACGTTTGTTCCACTCACTGCACGTTCGAGGAAAGGAGAATTCATGGCATCGAGAATTGTCTGCAGTGGCAACGGTTGCTCAATCTATCTAATAATCAGGTGATCAAAAGGATCAAAAGATTGAACGGACGAAGGAAGATCCCGAGATGACAAATCGCTTTCTCCTCGAAATCTACATGATTGTAGGTAATCGATGATGGTGATTCCGAATATTATAGTGCTTTGGGCTCTTGTAGATCCGGTTTTTCATGGTAAAAATTTTTTTCATCGAAGCTGATTTCCGATCTGTCTCGATTGTAGAGCATATCGAATTAGTTATGGGAAAAGTTTCTCACATTTATCGGACGTGTGACAGCGCTATAATATTCTCAAGCTTCCATTTATGTTCACGATAGTATTAAAGAAAACTGTATAGCACGGTCACATGTTGTCTGATAAGGGTGAAGAACTTTTCCCATAACTAACTCGATATGCTCTACAATCGAGACAGATCAGATATCAGCTTCGATGAAAAAAATTTTCACCGTGAAAAACTGGATCTCCAGAGCTTCAAGAGCCCAAACCACTATAATATTCGGAATCACCATCATCGATTACCTACGTTTAATGTAGATTTCGAGGAGAAAGCGATTTGCCACCTCGGGATCTTCCTCCCTCGTGACTTAAGGCACTTCGTCTGATGAGAATCTTGTAAAAATGAGTAAAGTGGACGTATTTTGTCTTGACTCAAGATCTAAAAAGCCCAGTCGGTTGAAAGTATAAAAACATGTAGGAAAAGTAAAATTCCAAGAAAAACTACGCCCCATATCAAGAATAATTCTATAATACAGCAATAGTATTTTTATTTTTACTCTATCTAACTTGAATAATGACTTTACCAAGGCGTTCAGATCTAAGTAGACGATATAGGAAATGACTTATATACAATAAGTAAGAAAAGTATGATGTGCAAAAAATGTCGAAAATTAAAACGCAAACGGACATGTTTGTGAGTATTAGACGAGATAGAATGTTGTATGAACACGTATTTCTAGTACTATGGATTATGTATGTTAAGAAAAATGACATATTTTTATTGTAATCCAAAATTTTAGAAAATGTTTTCATTTCTACTCATTTTATCTCGTCTAATAATCATTTCGAAAAAATAAAGTACAACAGAAAAACAAAAACAAATCAAAAAATATTGCACACATACACAACCAAAGACTAATAATTGACAAGATACGTCAAAAAATGAGACAAAAATAGATGAGGAAAAAAATAATAATTGCTTCATCATCATTAACGGCTTAGAATTCTTTCGGATTTTGACTTATTTCAAAAATAAAACGAACATTTGCCGATTCTATGCAATTCTTCTGTTTACTCGTATCTAATGTTTTATCAAATTGTAGACGCTGATTCAAATTTTGTCGAAAAAAATCTTCATTTAAACATATTTGTCCAAGAAAATGTGAATGTAGAATATTTTTTGCTTTAATAACGATTGTAAGTAAATTTCCTAATGAAGTTTTTGATGTCTGTAATTTTTTTCTTGAATAAAAAATCAACTGAAAATTCCATTTTGGATTTGTAGAATCAGAAGAAAGAGGTGATATTTGTTGTCGATTATTTTGAAATTGTACTTCAATGTAAGGTTTGTACGTGTGTATAACAAGAGGCTTTTTAGCCGAATAGATAAGATCAGCAGATTCTACATTTAAATGGACGACATAACGAACAGGACCACGAATTAAACACGGAAAGCACGAGTATAATGGATGAGGAGTGGGATACTCGAGTTCTAAAGGTGATAACAGATTTATTTCTTCAGTGTATAAACGAAGTTGAAAATCACCAATACAGTCTGGATCAAATGTACTAGGAATCTAATGAGAAAAATATAAAAACACTTTGAAATTAAAATATGAATTTTGTGTTTATACTTACAATAATATATTTTCCATAAGTTAATTTTGTTCTAGCAAATACATTTCTACAATTAATAAAACTGGAATGTAACAAAACAGGATAAAGTTGATGTAGACGATATTGTCGATTAGATTCACATTTCATAATTATAAATCCAATATACAAATTTGATACTTGTTGACCAATTGAACGTCGACTACGCTGTTCTACAAAAGAAAAAAATATAGAATAATCTTGAAAACTTTTTTTGCATAAATATGTCGTATACTATTGTTTCAACATGTTCCCAATATTTTGGAGACTTCGTTTTTCTTCCTGTTATAAAAAAATGAAGTCTAAACTACAAACACATACATTAGACAAGTTTTCTTCTGACAATATACTTCATTAAGAAAAAATTCAAAAACGAAATATCATGAAAATTATTCTCGTCACTTCCGTTCTCTATCTTGTTCGAAATGATTTTCTCTGGTTTAAGAATAAGTTCGAAGGAGGACTAGACTAGTAGACATATTTGATTACTTGATAAATACTTGGAAAAAATTGCACAAATATCTTCAAAATTATTCACTTGTCATAAAGTTTTACAATTACCTCTCCAGGATTACAACTCATAGTTTTACTGCTACGTACGAAGTACTTATTGAAAATACTTGTAATTTTACTTGATAAATACTTGTTAGATGAGTGAGGTACATACTTTAAAAATAAATTTACTTCTGGTAAAAAGACGAATACCGGATTTACTAAGCAAGTACATTTACTAAAGAGAGTTATTACATCTAAGAGTATTTGAAAAATTTCATTTTTATTCCCTTGACGAAAGTCAGGATTTTACGATTAATAAATTGTTTGTTTGTTTATTATTCGAAATTTTTGAAATGATTTTAGACACTATATTGGTTCATAGGTTTACAACCATTTTTCTTTACAATCTTTACATGACCCAAATGAAAACAAAAACAAAAATAAAAGAAATAAAGGAACATAAATGGAAAAATTTTTTCCTATCAACAACATCAGTACACAAAACGTCAAGAGATCGAGTGAAATCACAGATGAATATTAATTGATTTAGTTTTCGTGGAGAAATAATCGTTTGTCTGATGATCGTTAATAACCTCTTGACATTAATTATCAGTTTTTAGACTCAACTTTGGATCTCTATTCAATTTTAATCTCCAGGTTCTGATGACATCTCTACTGCAAGTCCAAAGTATTAGACGGAAAAAATCTCAATTTTTAGACAAACTGACTTTTCACGAGTGTTTAAGAAAATCATTTAAAAATAGTTTGTAAATTTTATAAGAAAATCAGGTCGATAAAGTTTTTCACAGAATATGTTTCATGTGTTTGGTTTCAGTAGGAGGTGATTATTTTGTCTCATTGATGAAAAATCTTTTTAATACGAACATGGAGACAAAGTGTTTGACAGAATGTTAGCATAAGCTGACATTGTCGCTAATTATTCCATGTGAAAAGCAGGAAGAAATCATATATAGCAATGTTTCCATCAAACTCAATTTAAGAGACTATCCTATACCACTGAAGAGGTGATGGATCACACATGACGGCCGAGTGATAAAATTTACCGTCGAGTTTTTGACTGAAATAATATCCAAGATTGTGGATTAGACAATTTAGCGTTAAATGGCATTTTTTTAACCCTGATTCAAAAAGACTCGCAGTATGGCAGCGCTGAGAAAGCGTAGATCTCTTATAGTAGTACTAAAATAAAAATTAAATTACTGTGTAATAATGATAATGCATTGATAAGAGTGGATTCATATACCATTTAAATAGGTGTCATTCGTACAATTGTCAAAATATGAGAATACTAGTAAATAGTAAATTATTTTTTACAAAGTTATCCAAAGGGTATTATTCAAATACTTTTTTCTTATTTGATAAAGCTTGTCAAGTTACTTAGCACAAAATAGTACAACCCTTTCCACATTATTTTCTCTCCGCTCTGCGGTGATTATGGGACTTCCTGCCATAAGATTGGGCCAATAGGATCCGAACGGGAAGCACTGTAAGCATCAATAAGATCCAACTGAATGTTCGCAACGAGATGGAATGTTGGATTCGTCTACTCACCGTCATCTACTACAGCATATGTTCTTTGATGAAATATTCATAGACGAACAATTTATTGAAAACGTTCTAAGTCGTTCAAAGTCGAGTAGTGGTTTTGGTGAGTGCTATAATAGTGCTAGAAAACGGTCATGATGATGGGGTCGGAGCAATCTGACATCTACAAATATCGATTGAATAAAAAAACACTCTTTTAAACTTCAATTTTCATCTCCGTTGCTTCATAAAGGAGTCCAGTAATTTTCGCAAATGACCTATCATTTTGCTTATTATGGAAAGTTCCATCTACTAAAATTTAAGTGAGTACCAATGTTTTACCTAAATTAATCAATAATTCGCGTTCTTCAGTAGTGTTTGTTGCTTGAATTTGAAAAATGTATTGTGGATTTTGTAAAAATGTTTGTCGATAATTTAAACATCCCCCGCATCGATCTGGTCTCGACCATTTTCCAATTACTCTTCCTTCATACCATCGACGTTGACTTCGACCCAAAAATGATGACCTTGTTTTTGTGTTCATTATGCAACACTGAACGATTTCATTGAAATAGCGACAAAAATCAACAAATTCCATCCTGTAAACAATAACATTAAAAATGTTAAGTGGTAAACTACATTAATATTTTGAAGAAAATGAACTTAATATCTGTTGTTTTCCTAATCTCTAGTAATTGACAACAAATTTTCTTTTTTTCAACAAGACATTGTTTATTAACTAACCAAAATTCACCATCTTCTTCAAATGTTAAGCCAAGATTTGCTCGATCTTTTTCTGTCAATTTTTTCCATTCAGCTGAACTAGAATCAAGAAAACACAGTTAAATTAAGAATTAAAAAACATATAGTTTAACCTACTTATCTGACCATGGACCATTCCACTCTTTTTCTCCCCCTGAAATATAAGAGAGAGAGAGAGGTATAATATTATAAATCGTACAGTATTTTTTTAGGAAATTACATGGATTTCTTAATCGAATCATTTGCAGAATTTCTTTTGTTCGTCCACCAATATGTATTAAACGTGCTAACAACGAGGGATTCTCTTTTATTTTAAAATTTCGAATTGCTGTTATAGCATACGCATGCCCCTTGATTAATCCACAAGATAAACGTTGTTCTACTTCATGCATATTTGTTACCTAAAATCAAAATATCATCGTTATGCTTTTAACGTTTAAAAAGATTATTATTTTTCATACTCACATTAATCGCACATGTTAACCACGATCCACGATCAAATGCTTTTGAAATAACTGAGAATAAGTCTTTCCGTTTCAATTCATCCCATGAACAAATGGCTAAAATAAATAAATTAGAAAATGATGATTTAGTTCTCGTTTAAATTATTTATCTTTAATTTACGATCAATGGACAATGTTTCACATATTCCGCCTGTGAAATCGATTAAAGCCTCTTGTAAATTTCCACCTTCTAAATTCTCATAACAACCAGATAATCTAAAACATCGAACCAATTGAGTCTTATTATTGAACTTCTAATATTTCTTTCTTACTTGGCATAGGCTTTTTCTAATAATGGTGCAAAAAATTCTTTATTATTTCGAGATTTTGAATAAATCAATTGTCCATTTATTGTCGGTAGTCTATCATCGATGACAACATCTATTTTTTTGTCAAAATCGTAAAATCGAAATAAAAATAGACCACAGTAGCCTTGTTCTTGATTCCATTGTTCTTGTTTCTCGTAATCGGGTAGAAGTTGTTTCCATTGATTTTTAACCGTTGCCAAAACACTCATTCCAACGACAAACCAACAATTTCCTAATTGTCCTTGAATAACATCATGAGTAATACCCAATTTAGAGTTTGATACAAGACGAGGATTTGAACATAATTCCTAAAAATAAATTAATTAAAAAATTCATATATTTTCAAAGAATATTCATTTCTAAAAGGTTATTTCATTAAAAAGAAAAAAAGCACTCACCCATGGTCTCTTCCATTCAACATTAGCTAAAGAAGATTTGGAATTAGTATTCTTTTGTAATGATTGTAAAGAGGCTGGAAATTCTTGATCAATAAATAATGTTTTTGACTGTTGACATTGGCGACGTATTCTCGAATATGACTGAGATTTAAAATAAGAATGATCAGTAACCATTTCTACATCTAAAGTATAATGAAATTTAAAAGTTGAAAAAAATCTGTTGGTAAAAATATCTGACCAAATGTTACGATATTTATTTAAAGAATGTAGCATTTTTGTCGATCCTATGTTTCTTGATTAGAAAATCCGTCACAAATGTTGTTGTTGATGTTGTTGTTTTTTATACTGTATCAATGAATTCTATCGAGTCTATTCGTCAGTAGTAAGAGATGCATGAAGAATCGTCGTTCACATTTATTTGAAAAGCTCGAGACAAATTATACTATTTACTCTGCAATCTTTTCGTTCATCACATACAAGTATAAATAGAGTATCGTAGAATGATCGAACTGATGTTTGAAATTTTATAGTAACAAAAAGTATCAGAAAGTAGTTAAATAGTCTAACTTATATATTTCTATCTTATTTCGACATTCTACTTGTTATCAATATAAAAATACATTTACTATCACTAGCTTTACACAAATAGAGAAAATAGATAAAACAAACAACAACAATAATGAAAAAGAAAACAAGTTATGAGATCAAATAAATTAGAGCTAAAAAAGAAGAAAAGAAGAAGAAAAAAAAGAGAGATTAAAAAAGAACTATTTTCGTCCGGTTACAAAATATGTAGTCATTTTATTTTTGCCTTTTACATCAATTTCTCCTCTCGGCTCAAATATATATCGCTCATTCAATTTGTCTTTAACATTTTCAGGAACTTGAATAGAATTTTTTTCTCCAGTTGAATCCATCCTTGACGCAACATTCACCGTATCACCCCAAATATCGTAAAATAATTTTGTTGTACCAATAACGCCGGCAGTAACCGGTCCATAATTAAATCCAATTCTTAACTCAAATTTAAAATTAAGAAGAGATTCATTGAATTTTTCCATTGTCTGTTGAAATTGAAGAGCAAAATCTAATAAATTATATATCGGTTCTAACCTGTCAATAGATTCACCTGTTAAACAAAAAAAACAACAATAACAGTCAATAGATTAAAATATAGTATATAAATTTACCTTGTAGTCCACTAGCAGCCATATATGTTGGACCAATTGTTTTAATTTTTTCAATTTTTTCAAATTTTTTATTTAAAAGTAATTCTTCAATATCACCATAGAATTCATTTAATACTCGTGAATAAAATTTACCACCTTCATATTGTTCTTCATACATATTATGAAAATTCATTAATGTAGCAAATAATACACCAACACATTCATGATTTTTTGAATATGACTTATAAATTGTCAATGGTTTAATAACATGCTCTGGTAAAATATTTCTTAATAACCAATCAGCTCTTTCACGTTCTTTAATAATTTCAAGTTGTTGTTCACTCGATTTATATTCAATATAGTATAATTGACGATGTTTTAATTCTAAATGTCGACTAATCATATTCACTAATATAAAAGCTAATAGAAGATGAAGACATAATTCATAATTGATGTTAATGAATGTAGGTGTATTTGTGGTAATTGTAGTATTTAATAATTGAAAAGACTGCTTATTACCTAGAATAGGAAAATGAAAAAAATATTAATTAAAAATTTACTTATAATTTTCATGAATGACTTACTTTGCGTATATGTGTGATTATGACACATAATAGCGTATGTAATAATAACTATAAATGAAAGAATAAGTTTATATAGATGATTAATCATTGAATACATTCCAAAATGGATTGTTAAAGTTATAAATAAATATGTTGTCAATATATTCGATTTAGGTAATAGAAATATAAGAATAAGTGGAAATAGTAGATAAAGTGTAACAATAAAATGTCGAATGAAAAATGATCGATAAAGAAATGTTTGTTTTTCTCTTTCTTTTAACCGGGTAAATTGATATTTAGTAATACATAAGTAACCGATTCCAAGTACACAAACAAATTCAATAGATAAAAGTATTAAAGATAATATAAGCCACAATTTAGTTACAGTAGGCATGATTAATATTATCGAATAAATAAATATCAGTAGAAAAAGAATAAATGATATTAAAGAATCGAAAAAAAAATTTAATAAAGGATTTGAAAATGCGAGTGGGGGCTCATGATGTTGATCATTAACAGGTGCTGTTAACGAATGATGATAGACAATTGAACGCTGATAATCAGATTCAAGTTTTTGATCGTTAAAACAAAGAGTAACATATGACATTGGAATTTGAAGTGATTGAAGTAATTCACGTTCACGATTTTCATCAAATGCCGTTGTTGAAACACTTGATTCACCACCCGTTGTAGATACAGTATTACCACGAGGAGGATGCAATGTTAACATTGTTGAATCGGATACAGTCGTAGTAGGATCCAATGGAATCATGAGTGATGTGGGTGCAGCATCACCTTCAACCAACGTATTTACGCGTACACGATTGAATTCTTCAAGTAATGGACTTGTTACATTTATTTGTTCATTATAAATTTGTTCTTGATTAGCAATAGCGGCAGCTTCTGTAGCAGCTTCATTTAATGGAACGGTAATTGATACACCTGTTGCAACCTAGATATCAATAAACACAAATAAGACAAGATTTATGTAGGTTTTTTTAAGTATATTAAATAAATTACCGCAACGGCCGCAGCGGTTGCCACAGTCATTGGTGGCGGTTTACGCGTTATTCGATACAGTAATTGACGTTTTTTAATAAAATATGTAGGTATCGGAGGAGGCGTCGGCAACGGTTCTAAAATATAAGAGAAAATATAATAAATTATAATATAGATTCTAGAATTGCTCATTTTATTTAACTTTTGTATTTTTGTACTTTATAGGATAATGATATAGGTCTCCTGGTTCTACATCATATTTATTTCTTAATAGTTGGCACGTTTTCTCTGTTATGTGAACATAACCTAAACAAAATAAGAGTATTAATATAACACAAAATAATCGGTATTAAACCAAGATTTAAGTAAACAAGGTGTCTGTCTATGTGACATGCAAAATAAAGTAAAAAAGAATCGATATTCTAGAGCAAAAATTGCTAGCTGCTGAATATCAATCTTAGGTGTCTATTGTAAGTAGTGATTGTATGTGAGAGAAACAGAGAGATCTGTTTTTCTGACATGCATAAAAACAGTCAGCTATTATAAAATGAAAAAAAACCTAATGTACAGATAGATGAAAGAAAACACCTGTGGACATCTAGAATAAAAAACCAAAAAAAAGAAAAAAATGATGAGTTTTTCATATACCAATAACTATCGATAGAAAATCGCTTTTGTTAGAACAAACTATACGAGTCAGTAACGAGCATTAGTTCATAGCATAAGCAAAAATACGTAACATTTTTTATCTGACTGAAGTTCGTTTAAATTGCAGTACAGCTTTTTAATAGCAGCGATTCAAGAATTTATTTTTTGTTTTTTTTTGGAGAAAATAGAAAAATTTCGTTAGGAAAGAATGAAAAATCTCCGTCAATTTTTCTGCGTAAATAATTAGGCGAAATTATCTTCTGGTAGAGTACACCACTGTATTTGGTTTTTTTTCATTTTACTCTTCATTTAATGTTTACAAACATTGTCTCAAACGAATTACAAGCTTTGATCGAGAGAAGTTTTGAAATATATGCGTATATAAAAGAAGTTTTTGGACAAACTGCAGAATTAGGAAAATAGACTTAAACCTAATAAAGCCGAGACATATTGCTTTTCTATAAATTTGTTCTTCTCTTATATAATGTTTTACAATCTTTGTCATTTTGTCTTTGACAATTGTTAATTGACAGTTATTTGAATAATATGTTCTTACCTGGCTTTCCACTTGATTCCATTTTATTTGCTAACGTAACATCATTTGAAAATATATCAAATTTAAACTTAATTGTTCCAATAATTCCACAATTTACGGATCCTGAATGTACTCCTACACGCATATTAACACTTTCATTATTATCTTGATCAAATTCCTCAATAGCATTTATCATTGATAATCCCATTTCAACACAACATTGAGCATGATCTGAACGTGGCTCAGGACATCCACACACACAATAATAACAATCGCCTGTGAAAAACAAAAGAATTTTAAATTTAAAAAAATATTAGTTCTATAACTAATTTTCTTACCTAAAGTCGCTATTTTTTCACATTTCATTCTTACACATAATTCATCAAATCTTCCATACAAATCGGCTAATAATTTCACTAATTCATCAGCAGTTTTATTCGATGACATATTTGTGAAACCGACAATATCAGCAAATAAAATCGATACATTTTCCATTCGTTCAATATGTAAAGGGCGAAAAATTTGTACTGATGGATCGTTTTGTGTGTCTGTTTCTGGTTGATTCATTAATGGTAAAGCATGTTTTTCTCCATCTTGTTGTTGAGATTGAGGCGGAGGAAGAGGAGGTAAAGACTGAGATGAACTGGATTTTATGTTTTGAATTCGTTTTCGAAAATAATCAAAATCTGTTTGAATTTCACGAGCATATTTTCGTGGCATCAAAGAATCAATCATCTTTGAAATTAATTGATGTTCATTTAATAAATATGAACGAATATCTCGATCTAAATAAATATAGAAATATGTTAGACAGTTAATTCGTAACCTTCTGTATCTGTCGTTGTTGTTTGTTTTTTCTACAAAAACTTTTTCTTTAACAAGTCAGATTTAAAATATGAATTTTTCATTGTTTTTTTATTATGTAGTAATTCATACATACTTTGACATAATTTGAAAAACGAATTTCTGTTTTGTGCTTCCAATATAATATTTAAATAGATTCCTGTCATATGTACACATATATGAAGTAACAATCTGCCTACTATTTGAGTTTGATAATAATGATAATTGAATAATTCAAATAGTAGAGTAATTGTTAAATTGATGGGTAAACACAAATAAAGTGGAATGCATGATAATGTATAAATTAATATAATAATTGTATATGTATATGTAAATTTGGTAATATGTGTAAATGTTGAATGAGAATAATGAAATGTAATTGAAAATGTTAATATCAAAAAAAATGATATTGAACATAGACTAAGTAGAGTGAGATAAATTTGAGAAAATGTAACATGTTTTCGATATTTGCAATAGATTAAATATGCAATAATACACGATAATATATTACCAAGAAATAATCCTAATAAATATAGCCATGTATAGTTGTGAGAACGATGTTCCCGAATTACTAAGTACAATGACCATAGTAAATTATGTAAAATTAAATAGATAATGTAGAGTAGATAAGTGTGACGTTGAGTTTGTCTTAAATAAGAATATTGATATTCACATTCCAATGAGGAATCACGAAATCGAGCATATAAACAAGAAAATGTTGAAGATTGTTCAAATAATTTACAACAGAAAATTGTTTTATTCTTATTTAAGGTGATTTGAGGAGAATCAAATTGAATATTATCAATTGTAGATGGACGTTTTGCACCTAAAAACAAAAACAAGATAGAATATTATTATTATCAATTTGCATTCATAGGATATTTTGAAATAAAAGAGATCTCATTCGGGATGTAGTCGTAGTTATTGAATGTTGACGATGTCAAGTAGCCCAATCGTTGAAAAACTAAAATTACATATCTCTTAGATTGATTTGACAGACACATCAACGTATGGAGTCGTTACTCATCGAACAAGACTAGTGAAATAAAACATGAAAAACTATAATAATGAGAAATAATGAGAAAAAATTGCTTTTAATTGTTAAACTTGTGAAGTCACGATTCAAATAAATTGGCTTCTATTGATGAAATTTGATAGAAATCATCGGAGACCCAATTCTGAAATCCTTCAAGGAACCGTTCATCAGTTAAAAGCAATTTTTTTTCTCATTATTATACTTTTTCATGTTTTATTTCACTGGTCTTGTTCGACGAGCCACTCCATACTTTGATGTGTCTGCCAAATCACTTTTAGTCTTTCGGCAAGTTGATTTTGAGGCAACGTCAATGGAACACAACGGTTTACTAGTTGACGACTACACCTCTAGATCTCATTACGCTCTATATAAGATTAGAAACGCATCGATCTCAAGTGAAAAAATAAAGATCACTCTTTTCGCTTTTAAAAACCCGCCAGTTCCAACCATGGCTCAGTACGAGATAAGCTCAGAGTTTCGTGCCCTGTATCTTGTTAAGGGGCTAACGTTAGTAAATCAGCCGAAAAGTGCGTTGCAATTGGTCAAGATTTGATAAAACCTCTATTTTTATGCAAAGTTGAACAATTCCAACGCACTTTTCGGCTGATTTACTAACGTTAGCCCCTTAACAAGATACAGGGCACGAAACTGAACTTGTCTCGTATAAAGATGACAGTCATCTTTTCTCGCTTGAGACTGATGCATTTCTATATATAATTTCACTATTTGCTTAACAGAAACATCTATAGCAACTCTAGTCATTACTAATCAACTGAATACTAGCTATGACTTACCGCCCGCATCAGAACTTGTCATATCGTTTACTTTTTCCGAATTCTATATGTTTAAAATTTTAATTTTATGTTCACTTTTCCTCATTAATCTTTAAATAGAATCAACGTCTATCATATAATGAATAATAAATAGCATCTAAAAAGAAAAGAAAATCAATTTTTCTTAGATATCGTTGCTCGCTATAAACGACGATCAAGCAGAAAAGAGATCAAAAATAATAAAGAAAAAAAAAAGATTTTTCTTTTTAGATATATAAATATATATTTATATATATATATATACATCTGAATCTATACAAGCATTACGAAAAATATTCCGTATAACGGATGTTTGATTCTATATCCGGTAGGTGGGTAATACTAGACGGAAAATTTAATTTATATCACTGTTTTCAGCATTATTATAACTATAACTCTTAAATTTGATAATAAAATTTATGAACTGATCATTCTTTTAGCTAATACTTGTCGAATGATAAAGACAAATATACGTTAAATCTACAGAAAAAAAAACAATTTTCTACTAGAAAAAAAACAACTCAGTCACTCTTACCCTCTACAAAAAAATAAAAAATTTCAGATTGACACTGGTGAAACTGAGTGTGACCCTTCAAGTACACATGTCATGTCGTAGGGACCACTGACATCAATAGTTAGCCGAGTGTCGAACAAATATTGATTAGCTAGAAAAACTGTGTACAACAAGTAGAAGAATAAATATATCTGATAAGATTTAAAAGTTTGTAATTGTGAGTAGAAAATAAGTAGTACGTACAAAGCTTAGAAGTTAAAGGAAGATTTTTAACCTAAATTCTTAAGAAACTCATCATTATTTCTTATTTCTTATTTTTTCCTATCTATGAACGATCATACTTCTCAGAATTTTTTAACAGTATCTCTACTTATTATGTTACAGAATACGGAATAATGATGATGATCAGTTTTATTTAAACTTGACTATCGTTAACTTTTGACATTTATCTTTCCAGTAAAAATGATCTGTTTAGAAATGTTTTTTTTTTTTTTAAAAGATCTATTTTCTCTTTCTAGAGAACAATCCCATTTTTTTATATTCTAAAAAAATCAAATACATCGATCAAAATACAGAACCAACGAACGTTTTTTTGTTTTTCTTCTTTTTTTTTTCTATCGAGAAAAAAAAAAGAATAATTTTTATTTTTTTATGTTTCTAAAGTATTATAAAAACAAATATTAAAAGAAAATATATAATTCTTTCGTACTTTCAAGTTAAAAATTATTCAAGCACATAAGTGTTGATAGACATCTACTTAACTACTTAAGCACCTTATGAGGAACAACATAATCCTTAAGTAATATTTTAAACATACCATAAAATAATTTATTTTTGCAATATTTTTTTTAAAAATTCCCTAACAAGTCCGATCTCTATTAGTTTCAACGGTCAAAGAGTCTATCGGCGCTCGTTGAAAAATACATGTAAAAATGCTTTAACTGACCTAGTGGTAAATATTTCTTATTTATTCGTTTTTTTTTTTCTAGCTGCATTAATTAAATAATATTGCTCAATATATCTGCATGTATCATGTTTAACTTGTTATAAATGTCATGTCCTGGACAATATCATTTAGTTCCATCGTGAGAAACATATATATGCATCTAGATAGAATCACCAGTTGGTTGACGTCCAGGTTGACGATCGACGCATTATACCATGCGTTTTTCGGTACTTGTATCGTCTGTTTCGAACAATAGCTAAGCAATAAAATTTAAAAAAAAGCAGCATATTTCCTTGCAAAAAAATTATTTACAATATAAAAATATCGATAATAAATTTTACTAATATGCAAAAGATAAACCGTGCACGTGTAATATTTAACTGTGGTGGAAGTTTGAACTTTTTTTTTTTATTAAAATGATCAATGGAAATGACTAAATAATGCTCGATTTTCTCTAATATATAACAAAAAAATACATTTATTATGTCTATAATATTGTCTAATATCAACTGTTTGTAACAGGGAACATAGTTTTCTTCAACTAATAAATTATTTAAAGATAATATTAATATCACTATATCGACTATAACAAATAAATATTTAAAATTATCCGTTAAATTATTTCAATATTAAAAGTTTTGTAAAAAATAAAATTCTATTATACAAAAATAATCTAATATTATTTGATATGTCTAATTATTATTTCAAATGTGAATTATATTCTTACATTCGTATCTAATAAAAAATGAAAAAAGTAAAACAAAATAAATTAATATTACTATACTTATTTCATATTTTAAATTGAGATAATACATTTTTTTTTCTACACTATTCAAATGTTGTTCATTATGCGAGCTAGAGTACTATAATATGAAAAAAAATATTTCTCATCTTGTTTAGTATGCATTGTCGATAGAACTATTATCACAAAATGAAATGATTAAATTGATTAGAACATCTAAATCTCATACAACATTTATTGCATTATCAATAATAGGATTTAATTTGATGACAATATTGTTTATCATTTCTTTAGAATCATTAGATGATATTCTATTGATTTTGTAAAATTTTCAACAGCTAAATTGTTTGTTTATTTTCATTTTCTTTATACATTCATATATTGAAAGTTTTTACTTTCTTCTTCTTCCATGTATTCATTATTTTCAGAAGTTAAACATAGTCTCACATTATTCTCACATCGATTCATTTTCAGTACATCTTAATGTAATATAAAACTACGTTTGTAAAATAATGATTACACAATTCTAGTAGAAATTATTATTCATGTATTGTAGAGAAAATATGGAAATTTAAGACAAAGAAAACGGGCAACAGATAGAATCAGAACATAAAACCGTACTATTATTATAGTGAATAAATGGTAATAGTACACATGTTTAATTTCCATCGAAGAAAAATGAGTATTTATAACAGATTGCAATGGAAATTTTTAAATTAAAGTGTACTGTCAAGAGTGTATGCGACAGTCTAAACTAGAAGCGACAGATTCCTTCTTATCACTCGAAAACAACATGAGTTGGACATAGAATCAACTACCTTCTTCAGAAGAGATTTCTACCACCTTAAAAACATTTTAAACAGTGAAACATTTTCGTGATCTTTCACATTTTCAAAGCGAAATTTTAAACATCTAAAGTAAATTGAGACGTTTCAAGATCTGCACACTTCTGCGAACGAGAACTTCAAAAAAGTACCGGAAGGTCATCAGTCTTTGTCTTAAGACTAAAACTAGTTTATTCACGAAGTGTGAGAGTCATCAAAGAACCTGTAATAACAATGATTCGAGCCAAACTACAACTCAAGCTAAGCAACAAATGAGTGACGATAGGTAATGAACAAAATAAAAAAACAGACAAAAAAGGATGAGCTGGAAATAAATAAATAATTGAAAGATAGATAAAAAGTAACTAGTATGGGCTTTTTTGACTGATAACAAGGCTGAATTTTACTGAAATGGAGTTTTTTTTTTTGAAAGACGTTAAAGGAGAATAAGACATAACTGACTGTGGAAGTTTATTCTAGTCAGTGGTAGTTGACTAAAAACGTGAAACAGCTCCCAAACGACCATGTATTGTCCACTGGCTTTATCTTCTACACTATACAATGAGAAATGTCGCATATAGTACAATTATTCACTGAAATTTTGTCACATTGAACAATTCACCTTTGTACATTTTGCAAAAAAAACTAGCGTACACGTGCATTCAGTGATAAAATCTCATTAAAAGCACTGTAATCGATACGTAACATATCTTGGATAACATTAAAAGTGAAACATCAATTTTGATCCGTCTCCTGGTTTAAATAGTTTTCTTGAGCCTGTTTGAAAGGCTAACAAATTATTTTAACAATGATATGAAGGAATAAATTGAACAAATATTTATTTTTTGCACAATATGTAAGTACAAACAATAGTCTTTACTCATTGGTCACTAGGCCATAATGAGTCGGATTTACCCTTCACGTATAAAAAAGCAGGTAGACGTCGCTGATGGTTACTTGCTTTATAAAACGAGCTAGCAAGCTTAGAAAGAAAATAGATACAGTGATCCGTAGAACATAAATATGGCGGGTTGGGTAACGCATTTCGCTGGAAAATTCCATAAATCGGAATTGAAAGTGTAAATATTGATTTTTTTTTGAAATTTTTATAAAATGTTGTGATTGTGACAATATTTTACTGCATGGTCTTACAAGGTCTTGCCTCAAGATCGTTTAAGATCCTATCAAGGAGTGCTCTAAGTTGATATCTAGAATTTTTTCTCACGTGTTCTCTTATAGTCGCGATATGACACAGAATCGCGAAGCAATAACTGTCACAAATCCTATTTACCATTCTTGTTCTGTTTTAGACTTATAGTATAATGATAAGTTGAGTTGATATATTTAGTGTCCACTATCTACGACATCTATTTCACACTTTTCAAAATTCCACATATCAGAAATGAATTTGATTACACAAATCAAGATGAATCATAGTTAAGATTTTGTTGTTGCTTACGCGAATATATTTTAGAACTTTTTAATCAACTGTATGAGGATGTCATTGCAGCATATCTGGATTGTTTAGGATGAGCAAAGATTAGATAATACTTGCCAATAATGATAACTAGCTAGTATAATTCAATACACTGAATATAATCTACCTTCCCAGCTTCTTGGTATTGTTCGTCATTTTTACTCTATCGCTTGCTGGTCGCTTATCACATTTTTCTCTGTGTTCCACTTTTGACATAACTGTCTAATTGTTGCTTAAACATATAGTTTTTCGTTACAACTTGAGCAAAAAAAGCTCAATGGGCAAAACTACGTTGTTGTCTTTCTTGCATTCCATCTGATCTTTATATAGCCCTGATACTGATTCTGCGGTCCATATTTGGACTGAGCATGTAAATGATGCGTTACGGAGTTATGCTCTATTGGTGCTCGTTCACTCTCCCTTCCTTGCTCCTGTTCCAAAACTTGCACATCTTATCTCCATCTGTAACCGATGCTTGCGGAAACTAAAACGTCGTTACACTCTTTCTAACCTTGTTGAATTTCGTAAAGCAAGGAATCTCGTTCTCTCTATCTACCGTCGTGAAAAATCTTCTTATTTTCGCTCGCTCTCTTCTTTATTTTCCGATCCTCGCAAGTTTTGGAGCTTCTCAGTCCTTTCTACCTCAATCAGAAACTATCGCAGAACAAATTTTTTCGCCCTCCCTGTCCTGTCAGAAAATTACTCATAAAAAATTGTTGACCTTGACTGGCTGAGCTAGGCAATGCAAAAGAAGGTTTTTCTCATTAACCTATAAGACTGTATCCTCAAGAAACTCACCGCAAATACTGGTGTTTCTCATGCGTAACAGAACCTTTTTTAACCACAACGTACGCTCTGTAAGAAAGAAAACAGAATTGAGCGACCGCTGTTATCTTCGTCGTTCGATCTCAAAATTTTACTTAAAAAGAGGCTTGAAAATCTCAAAAATCAATCTCTCGCAGGGCAAATCAAGGAATTTCTTGTTGTCCTGTCCGGCAGGACAGGGCAGTGCTGTCCTGCGATGGTCTCTACCTCAATCTATGTTTCTGGGCTTCAATCTGCTCTATGGAAAATTGTATATGTTGTTCCTATTCGCAAGAAAGACGTTCTTGCCGATATTTCTATTACCGTCCTGTTTCCCTTCTTCCTGTTGTTTCTAAAGTGGTTGAACGTTCAATTTGCAAATTTGTTTCTTCTCATCTCTCTAAACATTCCTTTGTAAATAAATAATTTGGTTTTCATTCTAAACATTCTACTCTAGATGTCTTGTATTTTTATCTTTAACTGTCGTGTTGTGGTTTGATACAAGTAATTGTTTATTTTCCCTCTTGTCGTCTTACCTCTTCAACCGCCTACAGGGTGTGCGTATGCATGATTCTGTCTCTTCTCCTTCTCCTGTTTCTTCTGACGTTACTCAAGGCAGTGTGCTTGGGCCGCTTCTATTTCGTATTTTTAACAAATTTTCACTTCTACCCTACGAGAAACTCTTTAAAAAGCTGTACAGGAAATCCTGACGTTCGTTACAGAACGTAGTATGCGTACTTTATTCAAAGAGAGGAAAATCTTCATGAAGCTTAATATTTAATTAGCATATAGATATATCCGATGATTTTATGAGAATGTTAACCTCTTCCAATGGCATATCACATAAGTGTGGTATATACAAGATTCTTAACAGCAACACTGCTTTCTGCGTATTCCAACATAAAATATCTCTGTCGCGAGTGCTTCAAGAACGTTTTCATATTATGTCTGGAATTCATACTATGATGTTTTTTGTTCTAGATTGTTGTTCTTATCGACTGTACGTACATGATTCCCAAAGGAAAAACTGTTCTAGGGGTGTATCTCTTTCAAAAATTCATTTGGCCATTGTCAAAGGTAAAACATGTCGACTCAAATCAACAGTGATGCATAAGGAATAAATTTAGATAAAGACATGTTTTTTTTCTTTATTTTTTTAGTATTTAGTCCGAAATCGTGCTGCTATTGGGAAAATGATATCAAAAATTTTAAAAATAAAATGAAAACTAGAATATGTTCATCAAACAGGCAACAACAAAGTTTTTTCCCTAAGACAAAAATGATGTCACCAAGGTTCGCACGTTCATTTTTATCACGGCAAGATCGTGCGTTTGTGTACACGGAGTAGACTACTATTTTTCTGCATGATTTTCCTATTTAGTTTTTGTATGTGAAAAGTCAATAGTGCTAGTCGAATAAAACTGTTAAGAGTTCAATAATCATTTTCATTATCTGATTTTCAGATAGAAATAAACAAAGTTACATGTGGTTTTGTAACGTTATTTTGATGTTTATATTGTGCAGAACAGATTTTTCTAATACGGCTGAAATTATAACAGTTTTTACTGTTCGAGAGAAATGTATACATAACATGTAACTACTAAAAAGTTGTAGTGTTAACTGAATTCTAACGACGATTGAACGCGTTTTAAATATAAACGCCAACATCTATTGTAAACAGTTGAGACTTGTAAAAAAGAAATTATTTTCATCTTCCGATACTTTTTTTACATTTGATCGTCTCCTAGTTTATAGTACTAATGCACTGAATGTTTTTTTTCGGTTCATAACAATGTACCATGATCTGACTGATGATTTTGGTTTTCTTCGTTCTGTTAGCAAAAAGGTTTAACATTTAGATCTCGATTCACGGCGATTACTTAATCGTGATATTTTATTAAATAGTTGAATCATTAATTGTAGACATATACTTCACAGAAATTTGCTTTGAATAAATTTTTTTGTCTTGTTGCTTGTGTGTGTCGATAATAATGCTGATAAGAGTAATTGGTAGCTAATGGAAGTTCTGTAGTGGCGGCTGTTATTGTTGAAAGGCGAATACCAGTTGCTTTTACGTGCAAATATCGCCCTTGAACGGGTTTTGAACAAATAAAATGTAAACGTTGTGAGTAGACTGAGTAGTTTAAACGTGTGACAAATGAGCAAAGACTAGATGAAGAATCATGTAAGTCAACATAAACTTCACGTGTCACATAAACATATATACGATCCAAATTAAATATGGACATATAATCCGATTGAGATAAATGAGAAACTAAACAAAAATAGACAAAAAATAAGTAGATTTAAATGTATGTAATAATTCCTTAGCTGAGAAAGAAGTAAAGAGGCTAATACGTAACATATTTGAAGTTAATAGTGGACTTCGCATCCCCAACACTCTCAGATCTTTCGGCTTATGGACATTAGTAAATAGTCTGAAGAGTCGTCTTTCTTATCACTATCCAGCCTAAATAGCGTTTTCATCGTTAAAAAGTGTGTTATATCAAAAGATATAACGCACCTATTTTCATTCAGGTACAATCGTTTCGAGTAGTGATCTATATTATACTAACGTTTGGCCGAGATCGATTGTACAATGTAGCGAAATACTTTTCAGATGGGGAGCACAGTATGGATCCAGGCGGACATTTAGCAAAAAAGTCGAAGTGCTCTGTTTCCGATCTAAGTATAGAAAACTATACTCCAAGGTATGGATGATATATTCCCAAAAGAATTTTCCTTCTAACTGCTGAGGATCATGAGAAAATACTTAGGCAAATGTTAGCCTGAAAACACATGGGGGTGTGGTAAAATGAGTTTTGCATTAAAGCCAAAACAAAAACGACGTAGATTTTGAATCTAGGCTAAATTAACAAAAAAGTGTCCAGTTTGGATTTAAAGTATCGGAGAAGTAAATTTATTTACTTAAGGCTAATTAAGTTTCCATAGACGTACGATCCAGTGTAAGAAGTTTCCAAAATTTTCCGGAACTTCAAACATTACAAAAGTGTTCGTTCATATACAGTATATCTATAGTGCATACAACTAAATGCAACTCTTCGTCTATCTCTCACTCTAGAGTCCAAAACTCCCTAGTTTTTCAAAGATAAAATCTATTTTTCTTAGTCAAGGAACACTTTTAAGAAAAAATAATGATTCGGAATCAGCGTACCGAGTTGCGTCCAATCATATATATAACACAATATGTTTCGGATCGAGAAAGTATCGACAGAAATTTTTTCACATGAACCAGCAAGACCGATTTTTTCTGAAAACGTTTATTTTTTGTTTAAAACCATCAGAGGTGACTAAGCAATGATAATCATTCATGAAAAAATGGTTTACAACCAAAAATTTCTGATGTCCGTCTGCTATTAGAAAAATGCCCGCCGTGTGTGGGGGAGTGAAGAGGGTTGAAGAACATGAAATGCAATGAAAATCTGTGCTTGGCTGATTACGTTACATACATGTTTCGAGTCCTTTGATTATAACTCCAGCTACTTGATGTTGTTTATTGAGATCAATTGTAATTGTAGGCTCATTTGTGAATGAATTATCGATTTGTAAACATCGAGGTGGTATATCGTAACCATCGACTAATTTTGCCAGATCATAACTACGTTCATGTAAATAATTTAGCCATACACGTTTACCATATGCCAAATTCTCAACTAAAACGACAAATACACAAACCACTTTTGATGTACATATTGTACATTTCTACTTACCACAAGACGTTTGACGATGAACGCGAAAGTAGCCCAGACAACATGCACCTAGAATAATAAAATGAATATCTTTTTCTCTTGGACTATGATCGAACGGTAATTGTGTTATTCTTACCTTTGTGTGGACAACCGATGAGTCCTGCTCTCATTGCTAATCTTTTATTCCATTCATGTGGAAAAAATCTAACGTATCGAGCAGTAAACGGCTGATTTAAGTAATGGATACGTTCGACATTTGAATCATAATTACCATGGAACTTCTTAAAGTTTAATTATACTTTTACAGATTAGAGAGTTATTGAATCAGTGTTACCTTTGGCTCAGTTCTTTGAGGATCATTATAATAAATCCATAGACGTGTGTCGTTTGAGAATGCGATAGAATATTTGGTTACCCATTGATCCTGATGATCACCCCGACCTTTTGTTATCAAACCTGTTATACGCGCAGGATGACTAATATCAATTTGTAGCCAATTATCTTGAACTAAAAATAACATTCTTCAGTAAACACATTTTGAGAAGAGAACATAAACCGCGAGTATTGCATATGTTTCATTTTTGCGGCATATTAAATGAAAACATTAAAACTATTTTGAGTACTTAAAGTAATTTTACCTTGTTTAAATCTTGCACACCAGCCTTTATCCGTATGCAGGTAAGCATCTCTTGGTTGACATGTTGCTTTATGTCGGATGGGTAGGGTGGATGAGGCTGAGAATGTACTGTATGGATAGTACACAAGAAGTTTATTACATTCTAAAGATTGAGAGAAATAGTATCAACATATTTCTCTACAATTTTTAATTACCTTGACAGCCTATGAGTTCTAATCTTAGACACGGTTTGATGTTCCATTTGAGAATATGAAATCGAATGAAGCGTGTTTCTAGCGGATATGGAATGTATTGATGCCGAATGCTGATACTATCAACATTTCCCATAAACACCTGTAAGGATAGATCGAGAGACTTATACATAAGACATACTCTGAAATACGTACATTTTGATTTCCGTATGAATCTGTCACATGTTGCCAATGATAATAATCGGTACTGTATGAAATTAGAAAGGATGTTACCCACTCAGATGTACCGGAGCGACCTTGAGTGATGAAACCGTGAATCTGAAACGGTAATAAATAGAAAATGTTAATCTCCATTATGAAATTTGTCTATTAACTTACTTTGGTTGGTGTTCCTAGATCAATTTGTATCCAGTTATTAATTGTATTCTTTCTCGGACACCAAGCTTTCTTATGCTCAATGTAAATTCTTGCATTTTGAACTTGTAAATCACTATCTTCATCTTCGCTACTACTCGCAGTTATTTGCCAATCTTTTATCTCATACGTACTCAAACCTAATGGAACGCTACAAGAACCTAAAACACATAAAAAGAAACATTTATCTTAATTCCATCTAAAAAGAAATATTGAATATGTATAGTATAGAGAGTTTTCTGGTAATAGAACATTTTCTTCCTATAATTGAGCACTTTGTATATTCTAATGGCAAGTAACGCTTACAATAGATATAAGTGAAAGAGTTAAGACAAGTTTATATAGCTTGTCGTAGAGGAAATCATTAAGAGTTCAAATTCCATTCTATGGATATTTCATAGGTTATGTATATTCTAGTGTACAGTGTTTATGTTCTCCCATTGCCTTTGAAGGTTATGTATTCTTTATGTCCTTGGCGGGTGGTCTTTTGCGCAAGAAAACTCAATTAATTTTAAGATTCAATTTCTCTTTTTTTTCTTCTGTTTGACAAAATGTCATTAATAGAAATTCTTTTTTTTTCTTCATTGTTTGAATATAATTTTCATACGATAGTTGAAAGTAAAATAAAATGAAAAAAAAGGTCAATTTTCACTTTTTGTTTGCGGTTTAAAGTATATGTTGTCTATGTCTACAAGAAACTATGACATGTTTCACTGTTTGAACGATACTCTAACGTTCAACTATCCTTCAGGATTGATTTAACACATTATTTTCTAGGCATAAAGCTTAGATCGTATCTGTATCTGAAGTCAGCTTGATATGAATTATTCTCGTCTACTGTTAATATTTCACATCTTATAACGTTTTAACTGCAGGCAAAATAAAATCGATTTCATAGGTGAGAGTGTGGCTCGCTAGATAGTTCTAAAGAGATTCTCAATGTGTGAAACAGTGAGAGAAGAAAGTAAACGTTCGGTTATCAATAACTCAGCCATAATTAGGAATAATTTCTGTATGTTATCTTCATATCTTTAGATTACTTTGAAATTTTTTCTCAAGTATCATCTAATTGTGTGTGCATGACGGTAAATGTTCATTTTTTTTTTTGAAATAATTGCTTAAATTCTGACAATTTGTATTAATTAACTTTGATTCAAATTATATGTCATGACAATTGAGAATAATTACAATTACTACTGATTTTCATATTCAAATGTCCAAGGTCAAAATAGAAATAAATTTTCTGTCCATACATACATAAACCTTTTAATCAGTTTGTATAAGAAAACAAAGAAATGCTAAACCCTTCATATGAGGATTATGTCTATAAAATTAGGATTAGAACTGAAATATCTTACCAGTTGATATTAAACATTTCTCACCCGTTGTCGTCATTTGAACAAAGTCCATTGGTATTACGATTACAATAAATAAAATATAGATTCTCGTGACCATGACATGTTTCTTTCCACTTGCTATATAAACAACATTTAAGAGTAGTAATTAATCATGTTTATTAAACATTCTAATCAAAATAAAAACATTTGTATTTACAACTACTCTGATTTTTCAATATGGAGAATTGAGAATGAATGAAAATTGTTTTTCTTTCGTTTTTGAATTTTTTTTCGTATTAAATAAAAAAAGAATAAAAAAAAAAAACGAAAAAAAAAATATGCGGATGGTTCACAGCCTCAAAGAAAAACGATATAGAATACACGTCAGTCATCTAAATAAAAAAAAGAAATGAAGCGTGTTCAGAAATATGACAAAAGACAAAAACTGTATTAGCTACATATGTTCTGATATGAAAACAGGAGTAATACAGAGAAATTATCCTATTAGAGTATACATCACGTATAACATTTAATAAACTGACATTCATTGAGGCAGATGTATTGGCTAAGTGATAATCATTGTATGCAGAAACAAAAAAATAGGCTATAATGTCAATAAATGAGCAATTTAAACTGACAAAGATTTTTATTGTTATTGACGGACAGAACATTTCATGTCTTCCTTAAACTTCGGCTAAGGAAGAGTTCTGGTTTGATATATTGAGAGCATTCTCTACTTTATCAGTGTTTCAAAAATCAATTTGTTTAATTGAGCAAATCTTGGCGAGTAGAATGTAAAAGAATCCGTATTTTAAAAAATACCTAAGCTTAACCAAGGTTTAGAATGAAGAAATGGAAAGTAACAGAAAAGGTCAGTTAAATCGAACAGTTTGTATTAAAAAAAAAGAAGACAAATCTTAGAATACGGCTGAGAATTAGAAAAAATACAATGCAAATTTCAAAAAATGTCTCGTTTTATCTCAGGGTATTCTATTTGTAGTGGTATGGTCGTCATAAAAGGGATGAAATTTAAGAAAAAACTCTTTAGTTGAAATCCTAAATTTACGAAAATTTTCAACAATCACAGGGGATTTTTATAATTCTGAGAAAAACTTTGACATTTCATGAGAGTCATCACTGTTATACTCTCGTAAATTCTGTAACGAGATGTTCATAACATTTCAGTACATTTCCAGCTTTGATTTCTACAACATTACAGTGATTATCTGTATCTGAACACATTATTTTTTCATTAGTTTTATGTAATTGTTTTTTTTAGCAGTTCTTTCAATTCATCTGTTTCTCCTAATCTAAAATGTGAACTAAAAATTTTTTTTCTATTTACACTATAAAAGAAAAAGTGTAAAATAAACATAAAGTATAGTTTTTCGAGTATTGTATTTTGTTTATGTCAATCTAGTTGACCTATTATGTTGATAGCAAAATGTCGAAGTATAAATGACTGTCGCCGTAATAATACATCAGAAATCTTGTCTGGGTCAGAAGTGTACTAATTAATACATTTTGACAATGTTCAAAAAATAATTCGATGTATTTTTGTTTATTTTAAATACTAAGCACGTATAGGATATGGCTTTTGAACATATCTTGCTTTTCTCCTAGCATATAGAGCGACATATAAATAGATTCCAATAAACACCAAATTTAATATAAGCATGATGATACCAAATGACAGTTGAGCAGAGATACTTCGAAGTTTTGAATTAAAGGATCCCCCAAATATTCTTATCGTGTTCCCATCTAAGCCAATTAGAATAATGGCAAAACATGCCGACACAATGTTGGCTATTAAAGCAATAGTTGCCCAAATTTTAGCACGATTTTTAACAAATACTAAAATAAAAATGCGAAAACAGTAAATATATTCTATCAATCTATATATCAACACTGGCACTGAAACATCTTAATTAATAAAAAGTCTGAATTTAAATTTTCTAAAGACCAAAATACAATCGACAAAAAAATCTCATATCGTATTCTAATTTCGTTCTGTTAAATTTTAATTACATCTTTTCGTAGTCAAAATGGAATTAATTGTGGGAATTAATTTTTTAATTTGATGATCTCTCAAAGAAGATTTATACTGTTGGTAAAATGACATTACATTGTTACTTACGAAATATAAATATGAGAACGGTAGCGGCTCCAAAAAATACGGCACACCAAATTCCGGCTCCAGTTGTGCCTGTAGTATAGAATGTAGATGAATTTGCACCTAATTGTGCTACTTCTAATGCGAATATCAGCAGTGTAAGTATAGCCATTAGAATTGCAATTATAAAAGTGATAAGATATGGCCATGAACGTCTCCATATAAATTCTTGAGGAGTAAGTTGTTGTGGCATCGGATAATGAGGACGCATGGGACGACCATAATACATTTGCGGTCTATATTGAGGTCGTTGTTGGCCGAACATTATGCTCGATACTATTACTTATTACAATTATTCTGCGAAGAAAAGGTGATTAGTTAATTCTAGTCGGTACATTAAACTACATAACTTATATTTTGTATATTCAGTGTTAGCGAAAAATATCATATTCTAGAACGTCTTCTGGAACGTATGTAGTAATGTTTAAAATACAGATTACTTTGAAGGGATGAGAGTTTCACAAATAGACCTGAGTATTCGGTAGCTGTACCAAAACTTTCAGCCCGACTGACTGTAAAGATCTTGAGCTGAATGAAAGGGGTTTTCACTCTTTTATTTTCACATAAATATACAACACACATGAAAGGCCTGACAGTTCGACTGATGAATATGACAGCTAACAAAGAAGTGTTTGAAGCAGATAGTTTATTCACATCAACCACAAGTAGTGAAGTTGAGGAATTACAGTTTTTGTGATGACATGAGCTTTCATCGAGAATAAAACAGACTTGATGAACGTTTTCGAATTAACCGGGATGCTGAGCGACACAGCTGCTGCTAAACCGGGCGTATCTCATAAGATCGCGAAGCATTCTGAAGGGAGAGATCGTGAGAAGGCATGCCTGATCATATCTTTTATCTTTCACAATGTGCGAATACGGGTATTGTATGTGTAGCCACCCAAGCAAAAGAAAAAATCGATAAGCTAGCTCAACCTAGGTAAAGCGGTACATTTAGCTAGCTTAGCTAAATATACTGCTTCACCTAGGTTGAGCTAGCATATCGATTTTTTCTTTTGCTTGGGCAAGTTTATGTGAAAATAAAAGAGTGAAAACCCATTTCATTACCTATACAAACGAAGAAGTCGATAGCTCAAGATCTTTAGAGTCGATCGGGCTGAAACTTTTCATACAGCAACTCAATATTCAGGTCTGTTTGCGAAAATGTTTTAGTTGCTCAATGCCTTACAAAGAGTGAAAAAGAAAAAAAATCGGTAAAACATTAGTTTTTGTTATGCAGGAAGTAAAAATTCAATATATCGACAAGGAAGGACTGTGGGTACGAAATATTTTTAGTTTTTCTAGTCTCATTGAGGCCTTCATGTGGCCAACAGGTGGAGTCAGAATCGATTCGACAGCTAGAGACCTTCCCTCGTACGACATCATTTTGAACGTCATACTTGTTTGAGTTTATGTAAAACTTTCATTGTAGAATAACTACTCCATAATCATAGAGCAGAATGGTTTAGGATATCAAAATTCAAAAACCGACACATTGGAATCTGTACATTCGAACAGTTACAATGTCTTTTAATATTTCAATAAAAATCTGTTCTTATGTATTGATCTAACTGAACACACACACAAGACTTACTGATCACTATGTTGAAAAGTATCTGTCTACCTGCATATGTTTAATATAAATATTTAATATTTTACGAGTACAAGGTTGTACAAGTGATAATTACTGAATTAATATCACACTTTTACTGTGACGGTATGGATTTACATGTTTTTTTATCTAAATGAATTTCTCTTCCATGGTGTACTTACCTTTTTTATCATTTTTCTATCTATGTCTTCGTAAATATATATGTTTAACCTTAACTTAGCGAGTCTGAGTGTCACAGTTGTTTTATAAATGAACTAAATAATATCTGAAGGTGATGCTTGGAAACTTTCTTACAGTATGTCATACCCTACCCTTTGAAATTCAACACATCGCATAAAAAAAAATACCAAAAGAATTTTTGGAGAAACCAACGACTTAGTAGGCTTGATTTTCGAGAGACGAACAGTTAAAACGCTTTTTATCAATATTCTTCTCTGATAGTAAACAGTTAAGTTTTTCTAAAAGAATTTTTCAATTTTCTAAATGTCTGAACAAGTTTTTGTATATTTTCAATTGTGCTCTTTCTTGTCATATAAGTTCGTTTAAATCAACGCAAAGTTCGAAGACAAACAGCTTAAATCTCATATGTTCTTATAGTGTTTTGATGTGATAGACTACTGACTTATCTATTAACTTCAAAATGAAAATAAATTTTGAGTTAAACAGATTTCTGACCGATTCATATGAGTTTCACCAAATAGAGTGAAGCTACGAAAACGATGATTTTTTTTAAACAACTTGAAAAAGAAAAAATGTCTTTATGTGACAGATTTTGATGTGAAAATATTTCAAGTACACCTAAAAGACAGCTTTTTTAAGGATTGTAAGATGACTATTTAGTTTTCTTATCCAAATAACATAAGAAAACTGTTTTTCTCTATTTTGAAGCTTTCCAGAATTTTGTTTTCACCTTCATGTTACGATGATGATTTAATTAAGATTATCTCTTGCGCCTCACTGTTTTTCATCATCGTGCTGCTAGGATATTTTAATCAAGGTTTATTATTAGTATTCTAATATCTTTTATTATGTTCGACTATTTATCTCAACATTGATATTAGATGAGACGGTGACGCTAATATGAATGTTTACAGTTAGTGCTCTTGTACGAGACCATGTTTCAAGATGCAAGTTGTTCGACATCTAAAAACTTGAATAAAGAAATATTGATTTGAAATCAGATGTATTTATCAATTCTGTACAGTCAAACCAGTGTTCAAGATTTACTATTAATCCTCTACTGTCTTTCTATTTCAACTCTCGCTATTTATTTTAGAACTAATAACAGATGAAATGATGGTAGTAGCAGAGATACGTGCAACTACATAACATTTGCTAGATAGTATTTATCAAAACTTTATAGTTACTATTATTTTACTTGAGTCAACGAGTTGAATCGATTATCTAGATAACTTTGTTGAACGTATGTAGATGAGCGAAGCCAATGTTCTGATATCAAACTTCTTTTCCCATCCTTCTCCGGTGTTTTTTACGGAAAATACAATCATAGATCTGAACATTGTGTTGTTGAATAGCAGCAAATAGTGGGACGGGTACATCTCATTAGTGAAAATGTGCTACATAAAGTTTCAGCGAACATAAGGTCTTTGATGGATCAAATGGTGAGGGTAATCAATTTTTAGAAACTTTTACTGACCAAATGTTTTCACCCTCGTATGTGAAAGCACAATCTCCATCTTAGAAACAAATTCTTACACATTATTCTTAAGTTAAAATTCATTCGGCGCCCATTAGACTGAATGAAATGTCGGATCTTCCAGGTTGAGTAAGCTATCAAAAGAAAAAATTTCTGTAAATACAAAAATTTCTAAATTCTAAGAAAAAAATTCTATAATTTTGGCTATATAATATTTACAGGCCAGAAATATTTACGAGGAGTATTGTTACAAGTAGGAAGATGTTACTATTACTATCAAGCTCACTCCTAAAGTTCACAGCGCCAGGTGGTTGCCTGAGTCAGACACGGAAAGTATTGTCAAGAGCCAGCCATGCGCGAAAAGGACGACCTACACTGTTGGAACTATATTTGAGTTTTTCGTTCAAAACTTTCGCGGAGATATCGGTAACATATCTAGGAAGATTCCCAATAGTTTCTGACTAGTGAATGCTTCCTTCTGGTGCTATAGCATTTTTCGTAAAAGTCCTCAAAATTGCTAAAAGCAAGTTACTATCTTTCGAAGTTTGCATTTTATAGGTGTCATACCTCGATCTAGGAAATCGATCAAGAGTTCGTATTTGCAGCATAAGCAGTCGAGATCGAATAGTACCTGCATCCAAAATCATATGTGGATTCGACTTCCGCCCATATGCGAGTTCATGTCTGCAAAATGAGGGAATATTCATACTGTTTGTACTTTTTGTTTAATTTATTTCTGTAAAAAATAGAAATATTTGATTAAACTTGAATGTCACTGCACAGAACAACTGCTACTTTATGAAAATTTATAACTTTCATAAGAAAAAGATTGTTCACTATACTGGCCGATCATTGCAAAGTTGAGTCAAAGTGAAAATGGAGTACTTTAAGAATTAAGTTCTTATGTCCGAAGGTGTCTGTTACAAGATCCTGTTAATCCTATGCTACATCCCTTGGACTACTTGGCGTTTTCACCGTTTGCGAAATCCTAGGCGTCTATTCACATCTTAAAAACAAATACAACTAGATTTTCAAAAAATAAGCAGATTAATGGGATGTAGATTAACTCGAAATCATACAGTAGCCATTGCACGTAAGCCACGACCTACTGCCATAGGAAGCACAGTGGGCAACCATGTGGACCATTTTTTTAGGTGAAAAATTGAAAGTACCCTTTTTGACGATTCACGTCGTGCTACATATACTTCAGACCACGAACTATTTAACGGCGTAAAAATTTTGAGCCAGAAGTGGTGAATTTGCGGAAAACAGGCATGACTGAAAAATATTCCGTAGTTTTGCGAACTCTATGGAAAAACAATTTTTTCCTTAAATTTTACCGTTTTAAAATTTGCAAAAGTATATATTCGGAATCTAGGACCTTTTAGCTATCGATTCCTAAAAAAAAATTTTTTAGAGACTTTAACAGAAAAACAAATTTTTCTTCCTACACTAAGTGCTTTCCGAAGAAGTATGCTCGGTATGATGAGTTTCCGAAGCTCCAAACTGACTGAAACTTTCACAGAATGCTCTTCTTGTCATAATACATCTGTACGAATAGTATAAATCGTCCTGGACTGACTTATAGGTTTTTCAAAAAACCTTGAATTTTCAGGTAAAATCCATGAAAGAGCCGATATTTTATAAGATATTTTGTAATAAAAGTCTATCTCTTCTGAAAAATCCATTCAGTTCAACAGTATGATAAAGAAATTAGCCCCCCGAATGTATTTTCAAAGTATAAATATATTTAAAAATATTTTTTAATATTTCGTAAGTACAAAAGAGTATTACTTTAGAATCTGAACATTGTTAAATGGGAACATAGAATTGGACGGAGTCTTTATATTGATTGAAAAAACTCATTCTACTTAAAATAATTTAAAATATCGGTCAGTTAAAACCATATCATCGACGAATCTAAATAGAAAATGAACATAAATAGGATATAATGTTGAGATATGGGGTTGAAAGTACATACTTTGTCATTTCTGATTGTGGATGTACGTGTCTTTTATCAATGACCCATGGAACGTTCGTCTTCAAAGGCTGATCCTTCATCCACCACCCATATTGTTGAGCTGCAGTGAGAGGTTGACGATACTGTTCATGTGGTTCTAAAAATTAGAAACATATTGAACCATAACTAAAATCATTCATTCTTGATCATTCATAAACTTCATTCTTGCACGCTTCATTAAATTAAGCCCTTTTCCCTTGAGAGAAACGTATCTGGATAACCATTACTCGGATCCTGACGAAAATTTCAAGGATGGGTGGTCATCTCAAACCATGGTGACGAAATTTATTTTTGAGCAGAGCTGGGCAAGTCACGGATTTTCCAAGTCACAAGTCAAGTTATCAAAAATTTTCTCAAGTCAAGTCGAGTCAAGTTTCGGGTTTTTCCAAGTCAAAGTCACAAGTTATGACTTGAAATTTTTTTTCCGTAGAAAAATGCTCAAAGCGAAGCTGGGCAAGTTACAGGTTTTTTATGAGCTTCGGCTTGTTGTTTAAATACGATGTTTCTTTTTCGTATTTCAAAAGATAATTATAAAAAAGACAGTCCTTTAATGAGCCTTTCATATTATTCATATTATAACAGATTTGGACTCATCTGAGACAATTCATATTTTAATCAAGTATCGCAGTTGAGAAACCATTATTTCTGCAAAAATATTCGTTTCTCAACTGAGATACTATTTTGACACGTGCGTTGAAACGTGCAAATGTCTATTATTCAATAGTGAATGAAATGAAATTAGGTATATGATGTATCTCTACTGACTATCTAAGGAATTATCCCCACATTGGATAGTCAAATATTACCATCTATTAAATTATTATCAAGTAATCGCATGTATGCAAAAAACATAACAACAAAATCAGTTCTTATCCCTTGCTCTCCACGTCATCCACGTCTTATGTCTGAATCACGAGTTTTGTGAAAAACGTCTAAGTATGCAAAATGGCGTGAAAGTCGCTGTAATTCTTGTAGATTTTGTAGAACTATTGAATAATAGACCCTTGCACACTGCACTCTTGCACAATTACACGTTTCAACACATGTGTCAAAATTGTATCTCAGTTGAGAAACGAATATTTTCGCAGAAATAATGATTTCTCAACTGAGATACTTGATTAAAATATGGATTGTATCTCAGTTGAGACGGTACGTTATGACATCAATATTCCCAAAACATTATGAATTATTATTTAAAATTAGATTGCATAAGAGGTTTAAAAATATGCGTGACTTGACATGATTTTTTATACAAAGTCACAAGTCAAGTCTTTCAAAAACATTTTCAAGTCCGGTCAGATCAAGTCAAAAATGACTTGACTTGACTTGAGTTTCCTAGCTCTGTTTTTGAGTCAACCTTTATGAAACCGCAACAGTAGTCAAAACGAAGCTATCACTATTTCCCAAAAATCTGTCTAGATCGATGATGGAAAGCTCGATTGATTTCAATATGAAGCTAATATATGTGGCTAGAGGTTGTCGACAAAGCCTAATTTTTAAATATTTGAGTTACTGATTTTCGGCTGTCCTCGAAAGGTGAAAATCTCGAAAGTTTCTCAAAACTCTGCCTGTTTACTGAAAATTACAGCAAAATTCAAAAATTGGACTCTATTAACCAACCTCTAGCTGCATGTGTTAGCTTTATTTTGAAACAATCCCGAGCTCTTCATCACCGATTTATGTCAGCACTGATAGATACCGTGAGAATGTATATCATTAAAACTAATTTCTGAACGATTTAGACAGCATTTTTGCGAAATACAAACAGCCCTGACGGAAAAAGAAGTGATTTAGAGATATGGTGCGCCAATGTATGGTACAGGTATGAGAACTCTTAGTAAAACTATCATAACTTTTGATTAAACTATCACTCAAAGCAAGAAGGCGTCAAATTCTAACGAGAAATGTTTGCTATGCAAACCAGCATTGCTGAAATCCTTTTTGATTCCAGCATTTTACCGAAATATCGGAATGTCAAAAGAATTAGTGTTTTGACCTTTCAGAAAATTTTCATAACAACAGGATGAATTCTAAATGTATAAATCTTAGACTATCGAACTATGTGTTTAGTTCAATATCGATTTTTCATTCAAAATCTATATTTCTGACAGGAAGGGCACCGTAAATATTTCTCATATTTCACCTTTGCCACCTCTAACATGCATATGTCTAAGTGTATGATAAGTTAAATTCGATACAGAATCGTCAACCCATTCTCGAGATTGTAAATCGCCAGCCATCTCTTTAGCTAATTGTTTTTCAACAGCATTTGGTTGATGTTGACCAGCCAAAGAAGATGGGGCACTCTGTAAACGATTCAATGATTTAAAACGATTGTCATAACCCATCATTGTCAAATTGAAAAACGTCATTGTTTTATCACACTTTACAATCTAAAATAAACGCATACAGACTATTCTCATTCAAATGTATATATGAAAACAGATATATTTGACTTATAAAAAATCAGTTATGCTACCTAGACAAACATTTTACTTAGTTAGATAATGTATTTAATACGAAATAAAAGAACAAGAAAAATTGATTAAAAATATTTTTCAATTAATGGGATTACTTAAGAAAAACAAGTAAAATATAGTATTTAAATTTATGCATATTTAAATAAAAAATAACAATTACCGGTAATCCAAGAACACATTAAACAGACACTTTTTTTCTTCTGAATATTTAACTCAACAACTTGATGAAGGATATAAGAAAAGAAAATAGACCAAACACTGTTCGTTTAAATGGAAGAATCAATAAAAATAAGCAGCTTGTAAGCCCACAATATACATTAAAAGATAAAAATATCATAGAAGTATTTTTACATACATTTCGAGATAAAACGAGCAATTAAAACAAATATGTCGCGAAAAACAAACATTTATCGTTAATAAACATGAAAATTGTATAATAATAATAATAACAGTAACCCTAATCTGATTATCATCTTTAATAGTTGGAAGGTTTTTACAAAGATCAATTTTCACTTGCTCATAACATCGCAAAATGTTCTTGAAAAAAGCGAAAGAAACTTATCTCTACTTTCTTTTTCTGATATAAAATATAACTTTGTGTAAAACAATAATAGTCAAATCAATTGTAACTCAAAAAAAACTTTAAAATTTTCTTAAATTACTTCTTCACTAGATTTTTTACAAAACAAAAAATAACTACAAATTCTTATTAATAAGGCGACAAGAAAGATTGAGACAAAAAGCGAACTATAAAATCGAGATTTAAAAAAATAGAAGTTATGAGCGTGTGTCATACAGGAGAAATGAACCTGAGTACTCTCTGGGATTATTAAAGAGAAAAATAAGAAAAGAACGGGAACGGTAGACAGTGTTCTTATAAAAATTGTTTTTGTTGAAGAAATTTGTTGATATCAGTGTCGTTTGTAACTGTTATGTTCTTATCAGTTTGACCATTAATTTGTGCAGAAGATCGAGACAATTTATTTAATGTTGTTTCGTTCAGTATTGTTTTCAATTGACTATTTTCCCTTTTTAAATGTTGAATTTCTAGTTCCAATTTTTGATTTTGTTGTTTCTGTTGATCTAAATTTGCTTCTAATGTTTCAATATATTGACGACGTCTTTCACGGCATCGACGTGCCGCTTCACGATTACTTTCACGAATTTGTTGACGACGTGTATCCGGATCACCTTCAGTCGTACCAGTGAATGTCTGTTGAGTGATAGGTGGTTGATGTTGAGGATAAATATTTGTTGTTACTGGTGGTACCACATGGGGTTGATGAGAATTAACACCGCTACTGTTACTGCCTGCTGGTACTGTTGACACTACTTTTTGACGTTTAACTTGATGAAGACTCTGATCACTCGATGTCACTTCATTTGACATATTCTGTTGATTCTGGACAATTACACCTGATGTCTCATCTTAACACAAAGAAAATACTTTTTGTTTGAATAACAGTGTTGTGAAAAATTATTTGACTGTGTGAATGACTATGAGAGGTTTTGATAGTGTAATTTAGAGTTTTAATGCAAAGAGTCAGAATCTCATGGGATAAGTAATACATTTTAAGTGACATGATCATAAAGTTTTGATGGTTTTTGAACATTTGTTTTCTATAGGACTTGTCAGTATAGTATAGTATTTAAAAACAGCTCAAAAATCAGTAAACGAGAAGAGTAAATTTTGTTTTCTCTCTTCCAGTATTATGGAGCAATGTTTGATCTATAAAATGAAACACTGCACAGTCCTGCCCTCTAACATCAAGAATACATGTGCTAGATCTAGTTACAAGAACAAAAATTATGCAGGATTAAAGTGAGATTTACACAATAAAAAGTGACTTTTACCTTGCATTCGTATCTAGCACATTTATTTTTGATGCTGTTCAGCGTTTTATTTTATAGATCAAACGCTACTCTGTAATACTGAAAAGGAGAAGAAAATTTGATTTCTGTCAATCATTGATTTTTGAGCTGTTCTAAACACAATACCGATGGGTTCCACAGGAAAACAGTTTTCAACGGTGTTATAGTTTACGGTGTTAAACGTGAAATAGATAAACTATACTATCAAATGCGATGCAACTTCTCATCATTAAATAATGATCTCTACATCAAAGGATTAGTGCCTGACAAAAATTGTTTATGTGGCGAGAAAGAAACAGTAAAACATTATTTACTACACTGTTCTCTCTATGACGCACAGAGAGCTACACTTTTTAAATCTATAAATGATTCGATATCAAATCCAGATTACTCATTAAAAACTCTATTATTGTTAACGCAATTCCTAAAGATAATTACTGTGTTATCTATCGTTTAGTTGTTAAATATATTGATGCAACTTTAAGATTTGCTGCTGATAGATAAATGCTATGTCAATCTCTCTTACTCTCTCTCTCTCTCTCTTTCACATACACACACTCACACACCTTTCTTTTGTCTTTTGCATGATTAAGATTTTATTATTCCTATTTATATATTGCAACATCAAAGGCATATTTATTTATATTATTTTTGTGCTAGTTTGTGGTAATCAAGGAGAAGGTACAATGACTTTGTCGATTCCATCTTCAAGATTACATGTTCTCGAATATGTTTTTTTTACTTTTTTTATTTATTTAAAATGAATAAAGTTTAAACTAAACTAAACTAACAGTTTTCAAATTTTTACGATTATACTACTTAATTTTCTCAACACCGTACATGGGCGATCCACAATGAATCGGTCGTTGTTATTTCGATTAGCTCTCAGTTCGCGGTTCGATATTATCTATTAAACTCAAAATTTTTCTAAGATATGCGTCATGAAATTCTGGACATAACATTAATCAGACATATTGTTTTCTGTTCGAATTTATACTATAAGAATTAGAATATCAAACTCAATAATATTGAAAATTTTTCACGTGAAAAGGTTTATTTTTGCAATTACTGATCGAGAATGATATTATAGAAAAAAAGCTCATCGTCTCAAAACCATCCCACTAACTTGACAGTGGGATGTTAATGATAATTATTGACATTCCAGTTTCGCATGAATCACTGCTCTAATTCTTCAGAAAGCTTATTTACTCATCATTCCTGTGCTATCGAACTCTAATAAATCACTCTGTATCGAAGTCTAATAATTCATATCCTTTGTTTCTACTTTTGAGGAAGCCCTAACCGGAAAATTTCATTATTTTAAAAAAATTTATTTTTATTCAATTATTCACCAGTGTTATTACATCATGATCTATTCTATCTTGCGCAATATTTTTCTATTTTTTCTCTTTTTTTATCACGATCGCTCAGATTTTATACTGTCCTCTCTACCGTTGATAAAGTACAGAAGTTCACAAAATAACATTACACATAGAAAATTACTCAATATGTTCGGCATATCCATAAAATAAAGGGTAAGATAACTGGTATGATCTTACTAATCTATGGTGACTAACAGACTCATATAATAATTTTTCTCAAGCAAAAAATTCCAGTAAACATTTCCAACAAGGTAAGATAAATGAAAGACACTATAAAAGTCAAACAATTCAAGTACACACTGTTTCTTACATACCATTGTTTATATTTATTTGTTGAAATGCCCGTTTATTTGTTGGCTGCATTTCACCATCCTTGAGAATATGTGTGTGACCATGTTGATCTAATTGAAATGTATGAAGTTGATTTTCGATTATTATTTGAACGTATTTGTTGTTAGATGATATTGGAGATGTAGCACCACCATAACTACGATGAATATTATTCTGAATCGATATGTGATTATTTGTATTATTATCCGTGTTACTGATCATTATAGGAGCATGTACTTTTGACTCCGTTGATAAATTTTCTTCTTTGTGTGATTTATGAGTTGTATCATTAATTGGAAGAAATTGTGATTGTAGATCAATTTGTGATGCAGTGGTTGTGGGTGTTAATTCGTTTTCAGATTGACTACGTAATAAGATTTTCTTTTTCGGAGATAACGATGAGTCAGGTGTTGTGATCAATTCACGAATATGTGCGGATTCCAATGGTGTTGTCACTTCTGTTTTCGATAATTTTGTGTTCTGAATCGATTCGATCACCCTCACCACCTAAAGAAAAAAACAAAGAAAAAACACTCAAAACTTGTTAATGGATAAGAACCAAGTATAATGTAAAGTACTTCAAAGGTGTACAATAAACGAACTTGGATTATCGAAGGTCTCTTTCCAGAGTTTTAAGGCGCTCTCCCTACTAGATACCTTTGAGGAAGGGGAGTTTATCTTACCTCGGCAGTTGATGGTGGTAGGAGTATACTTGACGATGGTTCTATCATCTCTTCTCTCGTAATCGCTTTTGTTTGTGTTTTAGGTGATAAGGAGAGGAGTGTTTGAAACGGTGATGTTGTTGGTTCTCGAAAACTTTGCCTTAAATTATTCTTGATTTTTCCTACAGGATTTTCAAATGAATTCGATGACATAATTAATGATGCCATGGTTGTCGTTGAAGGTGTTGAGATGTAAGATGTGTCTGACGCAGATTGAGAACTATTTTGATTTATTGCTGTTGATACGACTAAACTGGGTGTATTTAAAACACATGGGCTCAAATCCTCATTCAACGACATTTCGAATCAACAATACAAAAAAAACAACAAAATCGAAATATTTCTGATATAGAAAAACAGATATACACCATAAACTCTGCTTTTCAAGAAAAGTATAGCTTTATTCTCGTCATTTAACACTCCATTTTATTCAGACTATCAAAGGAACACTATTTTTACACATTGAATCTTGTTTGTATCATACTAACAGTAAATTTTTACTCTTATACTAAAAAGAAGAAACCCTGGTTCGTTAGAAGATGAACCATCCATTGGTCGCTTAGCAATCTAAATCCTACAGCTATCACCTTTAAAAACATGTATTTTTATCGAAAGTATGTTTTCCTCGAATGGCTATGCCTTTAATTCGTAAATACTCCATTTTGATTTTGATGTTCAAAGTCAGCTCAGTATTTTGTTTTCTGTTTCATTCTTCCGCCATTCTACACATTTTTTTCAGTGACAACTAGAGTTTTTAAAGTGACCGCAAGTCGTCAATTCATGATTAATGCGCACCCAACAGTTTATTTTCTCTCTCACATTGGTTTAACGCTGGAATAAGACCTCCACAATCAATGCCATTTTTAAGTTTTTTAAGTTGATTGTAACGTTTACCTTCTAGGTTACTGTCGATATATTAATGTTATATGTTTTTATTGGCTATTGTCATACATACGGAAGCCGTTGTAAGCCAATGGAATTAAGATCATAAACCTCTATATAGCACAGTTTTGTACTAAAACTTATCTAACTGATCTTAATGTTAAAGTCTTCCAGTTACAAAAGTACGGATTTCTCCTGAGGTAATACTTCAGTTGACGCGCAAATAGTGATAGGAAGAAGCGCCGTCTATACTTATTTCAATAAAATAGATGTTTTTAACAAACACAGTATAAATATTTAAGTAATAAAAACTGATTTTGATATTTTAGTGCAAAAGATTTTACTCAAAATCTTAGTAAGAAAACGTATGAAGTTAAAAAATAATTTTAAGAACTCTAATTGAGATTGATTGGGTAATTTGAATCTGATAGCCAAGATCATGGAAATTCTCGATCTTCCTTTTGTCCTACACTCTTGTTTGCATAAGTGCAAATATTTTCAGAGTTAAGATAACTTCAAATCTTTTTTTCTTCTCGAACATACCGGTTTAAGGAAGAATCTATAATTATATATGGACGTAAATCTAATGGCTATGGTTATCATATATGGAAACACATTCAATAACAGTTACAAAACTCAAACTTTGAGTTTTGTAACTGTTATTGAATGTGTTTCAGTCAATGTTTGACATAGTATGTCAAACATTGACTGTTTCGTTTGGGATTTCCTTTTAACCGTCCATTCATGAAAAATACTTAAAATAGTAAACTGAAACAAATCAAAACAAAAACATACTACGTCGAATTGAATTCGTGGATTTTTGCCATATAATATGTGTTTTTTTTTTACTACGTACTGCTTTTAATATATGTGGTTCAGATAGAATTAAATTATAAAACTGTTTATAATTAATATTAGTCAAATATGTGATACACGTGGAAAAAGAAAAAAAGCTTTATAACATCAGGTGAATCAACTGAATTCGTTTACGAATATGTATTTTTCAGAAAAAACTCCAAAATTCGGAAAAAATCAGAAAACTAAAATTCCATCGGAAAAGAAGCTGAAAATTGGAAGAGTTGGCAACCCTGATTTTGGCTATAGATGAATGGGAGAATTTCTTTGTTGTCTTCTTGTTACATTTTTGGAAATATAAAAAGCTGTTAGGTTCATTGAGGTTAGAGGTACAATAATCTTTTTTTCTTGACATTTTAGATAAAAGTTTTGTTAAATTTTGTCATCTGTCAGTTACTCGACAGCTATTAGGTTTTTTTTCTCGTGTTAATTTTGTACACGTGTTCACTTTGTGCACATGTTTATTTGTGCACGTGTTTATTGGCAACATCAAATTTAGTACCAGGCTGCCCAAATCCAATTTTTAGAAATTAGAAGTTGATCGGAAGATTTTTTTTCGAAATCAGGAGAAAACAAGGAGAAAGAATATCAGGCAGTTTTTTCTTGGACAAGCAAAACAAAAAAATCCAATAACTTTTTCAAAAACATAGTGTTTTTGAAATATTTTTTGATGAAACAGTATTATCATTTGTTACAGACTGCAGTACGGATTGAGGAAGAAGATTTTGATCTGTTGAGTTTGTAAGTTCACTAAAAAATCAGGAGGTTTGGCAACCCTGTTTAGTACCCAAGAGGAGTATTTCCTAAGACTGTTTTTTATAAGACTAAGACTATTTTATTCACGAAAAGGGAGAGTCATCAAAGGTCACTGACCTGTAATACCAATGACTCAAGCCAAACAACACAAAAAGAGTAAAAAGAGTTCTACAGTACAATCCTCTTTAAATAAATAACAGTATATTAGGTTTTAGAGCGCAGATATCAGCTCAGATCACTCATTAGTGCTGTGTAATATCAAAATGCGACTCAAGAAATTGAATAACAAAATGCATCAGAGCTGTAGAGTTGATGTGAGCCAACTAAAAGATGAGAAAACAAGACAATCTTACGTTGCCATACTAGCAAAAAGCATAGCGAACATTCAAACAACATGTGGTTTAGAAGAACACGCCACAAAAATAGAAGAAGCAATCAAAATAGCAGTAGAAACAACCATACCTGGTAGAAAAACAACCAGGAAACCCTGGATATCCGATGAAGCACTAAAACTAGTAGACGAGAAACGTAGACTGGAACAGATAAAACACGCATCTACACAACATGCACAACAATACAAAGACATGTGCAAAAAAGTCAAGAAGTCAGCAAGACAGGACAAAGAGCATTGGATAGCCGAACAATGCGATGAAGTGGAAGGGGTTCTCAAAACAGGAAATACGAGGCAGGCGTATGACCTGATAAAAATGCTAGGCAGGAAGTCCGTACCTCGACTAAATGTCATACGAAACAAAGAGGGCACAATCCTACAGTCGAAGGAGGAGATCAAACAAAGATGGACGCAGTATTGCAGTAGCCTATACAAGGATCATGGAGGAGGGGATAGAATGGTAAAAGAACTTGAGGAGATCACACCCCTCAACAACGAAGATCCTCAAGACATTCTGTACTGTGAGGTACAAGAAGTAATATGCGCACTGAAAAGGAACAAAAGTCCAGGATCAGACGGAATCACATCAGAGATGCTACAGGCTGGAGGGGAACAGCTAGCACACGAAATTCACAAACTGTGCAACAAAGCATGGTACGAAGGTACGATTCCAGAAGAGTGGGGCAAATCCATCCTGGTACCGATACCGAAGAAAGGAGATCTTAGTGGCTGTTCAAACTACCGAACGATCTCTCTCATTAACCACACAGGAAAAGTGCTACTAATCGTGCTATTAAACCGACTCAAAAAACAACTAGATCCGCATCTCTCGGAAGAGCAGGCAGGATTCAGAAAAGACAGAAGCACTGTACACCAAATCCTGACACTCAGGCTATTAGCAGAAAAAGCAGAAAGACAAGGAAAGAAAATATACAACTGTTTCATTGACTTCCAAAAAGCATTCGATACAATCAAACATAAAATCATATGGGCCGTGCTACAATCATACAGAGTGGAAACCAAGATGGTGGCGCTACTAAAAAAGATCTACGAAAAAGCGCAATCAGCGGTCCGTATCGGAAAAGACAGGGGCGAGTGGTTCCAAGCAGTTGTAGGAACTAGACAGGGCGTCCCTTTATCACCGCTCTTCTTCATCGCATATCTTGAACGAGTGATGGATGAGATGGAACAGACTACCTGTGGAAGTAATATCAGTGGAACAATTATAAATAATCTAAGATTCGCTGATGATATCGATCTTATAGATGAGGACTGTAGCTCACTTCAAAACCAGATCGATCCAGTCAGGAAAGCCGCTGAAAAAGCAGGACTCATCGTGAACATAAAGAAAACCAAAATCATGGTCTTCGGAGATCGAAACATTCAACATAGAATCCAAGTAGCGGGAGAGACCATTGAAAATGTTGAAAAATTTGAGTACCTTGGAAGTCTATTGACATGGGATAACAACTGCTCCGAAGAAATAAAAAGGA